AGGATCTTATTATCTATTCAGAAAAGATTTACTGATTCTAAACTACCTCAGAAAATTAAGTATGACATTTGGGAAATAAAACCTCCAAATACTAAGTTCTGTACTAGTAAGTTTGACAAGAAATCTGAAACAGATTTTTGTGTAGTCACTTTTAGAAGGCAAAAACTATTATATTGCTTCTTTAAAGTAGTTTTTTTTTTTTTTTTAATGTTCCCACCAAATGTGAAATAGGCCCAGTCAATGCCATTTATTATACATGTTGAACAGCCTTTGAGACACAAAGGCTCCCATATGAGAGTTGCTGTTTTTTTCCCGTTTTCTTTTTTGCATCAAACAGGTTCTTCCAAGAGCCTGCTCACAAGGAAGACAAAAACGAGTAATCCTCAATAAAATAAACAAACAGGAATAGCTTAACAGTCTACATATGAAAAACAAAGGTTAAAAAACTCAACAGACAAAATCCACACCAAACACTCATCCCATTTAATTTCCTGTTTCATGCACTGAGGAAACCAAGAACATCAGGCACCAAAGCAGTAATGCTCTGAGGTTCTAGTTCAGGCTCCCTCTATGTGAAAGATTCATGCACACACATCCACACATACTACTGACCCAGGCAAAAGTACACATGCACAGGTAGCCAGAAAACCACAGTGGGGGATGAGGAAAGGGGGTGGGGAGTGGCTGGTCAAGGATATGGTATCAACTGGAACCCAGGGGCCCAGAGAACTAAAGTAGTTTTTTTAAAAATATATACTTTTATTGATTTCAGAGAGGAAGGAAGAGGGAGAGAGAGATAGAAACATCAATGATGAGAGAGAATCATTGATCGGCTGCCTCCTGCACACCCCCCACTGGGGATTGAGCCCGCAACCCGGGCATATGCCCTTGACCAGAATCGAACCTGGGACCCTTCAGTCTGCAGGCCGATGCTCTATCCACCGAGCCAAACCGGCTAGGGCATAAAGTAGTTTTTTAAAAAAGGCAATATTTTGCAGTGTTTTCTTGGATAAGTGTTATCTTGGTTTGAATCTGCTTTTGGTTTGAATCTGCTTTTGTCACCTGACTTCACCAAAGAGGCCCGCCTGTTTTTCCAACTGATAATTTGTGATAGGTAATTCTTGATCTCTGTTTTCTACTCCAGCGACAAATCAGTATTCGGCAGCTCTTCACTATTACCTTCAGGCCGGAGCTGTGTGTTCTGATTTCTTTAATAAAGCTGTACCCCCTGATGTTTATACAGACCAGGTAGGTTGTTTATTGGCGTTTCTTCTTGTCTGCCTTTAAATGCTCTTCCTGGGTCCCTTTTGGGTGAGTTTTCATTTCCATGTTTGTTGTGATGACTCCCAAATTGATTGCTTTAGATCAGATTGCTGTCCAATATTAAAAATTTTCAGTAACTTTTTTAAATTAATAGTTTTTTAGAACAGTTTCATTTATTTTTTAATTTTATAAAAATATACTTTTATTGATCTCAGAGAGGAAGGGAGAGGGGAGAGAGAGTAGAAACATCAATGATGAGAGAGAATCACTGATTGGCTGCCTCCTGGGGCTTGAGCCCTCAACCCGGGCATGTGCTCTTGACCGGAATTGAACCTGGGACCCTTCAGTCTGCAGGCCGACCCTCTATCCGATACTGAGCCAAACTGGCTAGGGCTAGAACAGTTTTAGATTCATAGAAATGGAGAAAAAATTAGAGTTCTCATATACCTGCTTTGTATCAGCTATCACATATATCTTAGTAAATGTTCCCTGTATACTTTAAAAAACAAATGTGTATTCTGCTGTGGTTGGGAGTTCTGTAAAAATGTACAACTTCCAGTCGTGTACAAACTCTCCACTGTTCACATCCCATATCAGAACAGTACATTTGTTATAATTGATGTTAATTAGTTTCTTAAAATAATCCAAATTGTTTTTATAGGTAATAAAAAGAATGATAAAGTGTTGTTCTTTGCTGAATTGCCACACACAGGTTAGTTTAATATTTTGATGTTGGTTTATTTTCCTGTATATTAGAGTTTATAGTAAATAGAAAGCATTGGACTGGGAAATAGCTTTTATTTTCCTTACTATTGCTTAAGTTTATGGTATTTAAGAATTTGGCATATTTAAGTTTTTTTTAGTTCTTTATAGCAGCGGTTGCCAACTTTCAGACCTTACAGACCACTGGTTGGCGACCGCTGCTCCAAAGGTTTCCTTAAACCAGCGGTCACCAACCTTTCGGACCTCACGGTTGGCGACCGCTGCTTTATAGAATTTATTTAAAATGAAAGAAGATTGGTCTTTAAGCCTCCTAAGTGGAAAATAAACATTCTCAAGTGTGTTTTCTTATATTTAAGAGTAGATATGTACATTAGTTATTAGGAAAACGCAGATCAATACTACATTAAGTTGCCACGTCATACTCACTAATATGGCCGTTAATTCAAAGACAGAAACAATCTTTGTAAAGATGTGGAGAAATTACGCTGGTAGGAATATAAAACGGGGCAACCTTTTGGAAAAAGCTTGGCATTTCCTCAAAAAATTGAAAGTATAATTACCATATGACCCAGCATTTCCTTTCCTGTATAAGACTAAGAAAATAGAAAACATGTTCACAGAAAAGTTTGTACATGTATGTTCACAGCAGCATTATTTATAGTAGCCAGAAAGTTGGAAACAACCCAGTGTTTGTTAGCTGATGGATAAAAATTTGATGTCTATACAATGGCATATTATTCTGTCATAAAAAAGGATGATGTACTGATACATGCTAAAACAGGGATGAATCTTACAAGTATTATGTTGAGTGAAAAAAGACAGCTACAAAAGGCTGTTGTATAATTCCATCAATATGAAATGTTTAGCCAGAGGCACATCCATACAGTCAGAATATAGAGTAGTGGTTGCCAAGGACTGGGGGGGACAAGGAATGGAGAGTGATGTCAATGGGAATGGAGTTTTTGCAGGGGAGAGGATGGGAAGGAGACTGGAAGGGAGGATATTTGATACTTGTGATGGTTGCTCGACTTTGTAAATATACTAAAAACCATTGAATTGTGCACTCTAAAAGGGTGAATTTCATGGTATATGAATTATATTTTTTTTAAATTAAAAATACTTTAGAAAGAAATAAGAATTATGACCTACATACTTAATTGAAGTGGACCTGCTTTAGGTTAAGCAGACCGGCAGCCTAAATTTTGCCAAAATGAGCTCTGTGTTTGCCATCTGTCAAGGTTTAAGCATGTTCTTATGTCCTTGAATGTCATGAAAATGTTGTTTGGCAGTTTTCCATTCCCTTCAATTTTTTTTATCTGGCTTTTTACCAGTTTCTCATTCAAATAAACCCCTAAAAACTAGAGGAAGAAAATACTGGGCAGACAGTTGTTGGTATAAAGGTTTTTGCAGTTGGAATTGGATAGAATCCATCAGGAGCCAATCCCTCAGGGTGAACGGCAAGGCCTCTTAAATGATATATTCTTGATATAAGAATCATTACAGATTTCCCCTTTAAAACCAGGAATTATTGTTCATACTAGTTACCTTAAACCATTTTCAAATCCTTATTTGTTCATGTAGGTGGCAATTTTATGTCAGTTCCTCAGAGAAATTGACTACAAAACAGCCTTTAAATCACTGCAGGAACAAAACAGGTATGCATGATTTAAAAAAATATGTAATGTTGCAATTTTTCTGCTTAAAAGGAAGTTAACTGAATTCTATCTTTTTCAGTCATGATGCTATGGACTCCTACTATGACTACATATGGGATGTTACCATTTTGGAATACTTGACTTGTATCCTTTCATCTAATATCACATGTGGTATTAGTACAGTTCATTTCTGTAAATTAAAGAAGTATTTAATAGTGTGTATCTTCTAAACCAAACCTAAAAAAGTTGAAATTCTGTTGTGGTTTTTAATAGTATTAGATTTATTATTCTTAACTCATTTAGATCTTCATCACAAAAGAGGAGAAACAGATAAAAGACAAATTGCGGTAAGTTATTGTGTGTCTTACTTCAATAATATACTTAAGAATTGTACCAACAAAAAAAGATTTTGTGTGTCTATTACTTCCAAAAGTTGGTTACTAGTGTTTTTTTAAAAGATCCTATTTTGATCATGAGCTTTTGCATCTAGTTTATTTCAATTAAAATATTAGATCATGTCATCTCTCTACTCTAGACCTTTAAATGGTTTCTTATCTCACACATTAAGTCCATACAGTGGCCTATAAGGCCACATATGATTTGCCCATCTAACCCCCACCTTGCTATAACTTCTACTATACCAGTAAGTAGTTTTATGTGTGTATATGTTAGCAAGACTTTATTTTTTACCAGACCTCTAATAACCTCACTTTTCTGTTTTGGAAGATCAAAGCCATCGGTCAGACAGAATTGAACGCAAGCAACCCAGAAGAAGTGTTACAGCTGGCAGCGCAGAGGAGGAAAAAAAAGTTTCTACAAGCAATGGCAAAACTTTACTTTTAAGCAGTTAAAATTTTTTAACTTTTATTTTTTAAACAATAGGCTAAATATAAACAGTATTAAAAGATGAAGTTTATATATAATACATATATACACGTTTAGTGGTGTTTTCTTTCCAGACAAAAATACTGAAACAATTTAAAAACAAACTATACAGAAGATTTCATAATAGCTTAAGTTTATAATTTCTTCAGAGAAAAGATTCACATGTCTAGTAACAAACAATCTACTATAATTTGTTTTCTAATTAAATCCACTCTTGATGCTGAAATTTCATTTTTTCAAAAACATTTATGTAGAATTAGTCTATATACCAGCTTATGTGAAGTTGACTTGTTTGTTTTTTAAATAAATAGATGGCTGGGAATTGGTATACATTTAATACTTTTCTGCCTTAATAGAAGTCTAGGTCAGGTGTTAAGCTTGATCACTTTGACACTGTCCTTAACTCATGTAGGAATTTAAAAAGGACCTTAGCAGTTTTACAAATGGAAATAAAGCCTTAGTCACACTAAATAAAAAAAAAAAAATCCTTAGGGATACCTTAGAGCAGCGGTCCCCAACAGGTGGCCCGTGAGGTCCGAGAGATCGGCGACCACTGCCTTAGAATAATAAAGTGACTTTCTCATATAAATAGTTTGAAAGGGTACTTAAGTTTTTTCATTCAAATTGTGATGTACAAAAAAGTTGCTATAAAGCAATCTGTATGTCGAAGCCCCAAGTAGGAGCTACAGCATTTACATTGTTTATCATTTCTTTGGTATTCCCACTGTTTAGAGCGCAGTTTTAAACACCATGTTCTTAGCCTTACTGGTTAAAAATGTTATGTATGGCAAGGCAAATAAACTACTTAAAAAAACATTTTTAAAGTTCACCATTTATAAAAATTCAAGTTTTATAATAGCTCGCTACAGCAGCTATAGAAAATTAGTCACCTTAGCACAAAACTAAACCTTTGTAAACATACTTAATTTTATTTTCAAGAACCAAATTGCACTAAGCAAGGATATATGAATTTTGAGAATCTAAAAACTAGATTCAAAGTACTGTATCACTTAATGTACTCTTTAAGGTAGCACTTGTCTAGTCTAAGATTTTAATGATAAAATTCCTAGTCCATCAAAATAGTAACACTGGATCAGAAAAATTTTATGGCATAAATTGTGGCTGGCTTCTAGCCAGTCACCTTGGGAATTAACTTTTTGTAAACAAGGCCTGCTGTTTCTTTAAACAGCTGACAATGAAATACATTTCTTAGTGCCAATTTTACATAGTTTTTTTAAATCAAAGAATGGCATTGAAATTTCTGAATTCGCTAGGGTAGTTCTGGCACTATTTTCCTGTAAAACTTTAGTACATTTTAATGACATTTTACCCAAAACTCAGTGAATATTTGTCAGCTTAGTTATCTTCCTTAGTGTTTTCCTGATAGTTTTTCAGTGCTCTTCGGTGGTGTCATGATGCCTCCATTGCACACTGGTGACAGTTGTCCCCCATTCCTGAGGGTGTTTACGTAATTGACTTCCTCCTGCACATGTGAAGAAATGCAGAGATTAGCAGCTAAGGTAAAGTACTGACATAGTAAAATAAAGTCAAACCAGATTTCTGGATACTAAATTGAGGCTGCTTAGGCCTAATATAATGGTCTCCCCCACCCCAGTTATGGAAAATATAGATACAAATAGATAATAGATGTAGAGAGGTATATATAAAGGAAATGAGCATGTCTTTTTAAATTTTAATTGTTTCATTTTTACTTTTTAAAAAAGCTTTATTGTTGAAAGTATTACATATGACCCCCTTGCTCCCCACACCAGGCCTCACTACCCTATTGTCGGTGTCTGTGGGTTATGCACATACGAGTTAATTGGTTGATCTCTTTTCCCCCACTCTCCCCTGCCTTCCCTCTGAGGTTTGATTGTCTGTTGGATGCTTCCAGGTCTCTGGGTCTATTTACAATGGTGTATTTTATGTCTTTGCAACTTGGTCACAGTCTAAGGTTCAGCAGTTTGAACTGCTGTAACTATTTTTTTAAACTCAAAGTAGACTGTTGGCATTGATCTTAAGAAACTTCAAAAATCTTGCTTTGACTTCAAAGTTAATCACTGTGTCCATTAGAACTTTCTATTCCTTTATTCTGTATCATCCTTACTGTCATAGTTTTAGTGACTTACTAGGTAATAAGACCAAGAAACCCCACGAGAAACATACCAGCATAGGCAGGTAATTTGTGTGTGTCTGGATATTGTGTCTGTCTTCCATAGAAATCTTATTAAACATCTTCAGCTTCACTGGACTAGCACTTTTTACTACACTGGCAAAGGGCACCATCCACTCTACACATTCAGAAATGCTTTCCCATTCCAAACCTAGGAAGAGAAAAGTTAGCAAAATGTAAGGTTACATCAGAAAGTATCTAATATATGCCTAATGAATTTGTTCATGCTTCCAAATTGAAGGATAGCTATATTAAAACTCATTCCAAAAAAGAAGCCAAAATCAGTAAGTTTTAGCAAGTCAAAACAGATTATGACTCTCAAACTACATGTGACTATTTTGAGGGAGGAAAAAGACTTCGAGCTTCTTAACCAGTACCTTCTACATAGGAAATTAAAATGATCAAAACCCAAAGAACTCTTAAAGCAGAACTATAATCATGATTAACTTCAAATGGATTTAAATTCCATTTGACCTTATTTTTGTTTGTGGATAGACACTGAGGATTAGAACTAGCAGAAAGGAAGGTAATCACTACACTGCTACAATTTTTCCATTAAAATTTTAAGTTTCTGTTTAGCAGCATGCTAGAGTTCATAAATTAATAGTCTCTTTAAAAGTTGTGAACAGATAAGAAGGTAAAATAATGACTTACCTGAGGCTTTCTTAACGACTTCAATAGAGGTAAAATGGCACAAGGCGGCAGCAGCCAGTACTCTGTACTGGAACTCTAATGAATCAATGGCTAGAATACATAGATCTAAAAGCTGACAAAGGAAAAAGCAAAAGTACAAAGTATTTAGGAGACACAAAATATCAACTCAGTAACACCGTTTTGAATACACAGTACCTATTTTACACACTATGAGAAGTAGTCAGGAAGGAATGGTACCCTCCTTTAATTACCTTGTTAGAACATCTCTTATATGATGGTCTAGGAATATTTAGTTGGAACTTAAATTTTTAAAAAATGTAACTAAGGTGATTTTAATTCTAACATGTAAAATAGGTTCCCTGTGTATTCAAATATAAAAGATAATCATATAGAACAGTGGGTCTCAACCTTCCTAATGCCACAACCCTTTAATACAGTTCCTCATGTTGTGGTGACCCCCAACCATAAAATTATTTTCATTGCTACTTCATAACTGTAATTTTGCTACTGTTATGAATCGTAATGTAAAATATCTGCTATGCAGGATGTATTTTCTTTTTCTTAAATATCTTTTATTGACTTTTTACAGAGAGGAAGAGGGATAGAGAATTAGAAACATCGATCAGCTGCCTCCTGCACACTCCCCACTGGGGATGTGCCCGCAACCAAGGTACATGCCCTTGACCGGAATCGAACCTGGGACCCTTCAGTCCGTAGACCGATGCTCTATCCACTGAGCCAAACCAGTTAGGGCAGGATGTATTTTCATTCTTACAAACTGAACATAATTAAAGCATAGTGATTAATCACAAAAACAATATGTAATTATATATGTGTTTTCTGATGGTCTTAGGCGACACCTGTGAAAGGGGTTGTTCGACCCCCAACTAATTGATGTTTCTCTTTCAAATCAATCAATTTTTTAAAAAGCTAAACAAAACCTGTAATTAATATTAGCATTTACTCAATAACAATGTCAATACCTGAGCTATCTGAATGAACTTGTCCTGAGAATACTGAGGTAGAAGAACTTTAGGAGCATCTTTAAGAGCATCAACTTGAAGGAAGAGATTGAGCCAGGAGATGACTGTTACAGGACAGAGTTCCCATTTTAAAGCCTGTTAAATGAAATTAAAATGCCTGTTAATAAATGTAGGTACATAGATACCACATTGTATAGCTACTTCCTAAGATAGCCATTTAAGAAACTTTATGTTTTTAGGCTCATTTTTTTTCTAGGAGTTTTATTATTCTGACTCCATTTATTTTTATTCAAGATATTTATAGATACCTCACAATCTAAAGCTGCTTGTGTGTTGTAATCTATTATTGACATAGACTGTTTTATTCTCAGTTGTCTTTATTTACAAAGTTCATTCAGCCTATTTTTCATTACTGCTTTTCTCATTTCTTGCAGTCACTGGTCTTCCAAATTTGTTCTGTACTTCATTAAAACTACTCTTTTAATTGTATTCAGTGACTCCACAACGAATTCCATTTAGGTCATCTAAGAATTGATTCTAGACTTCTTATTTCTGTAATCTCCAATGACATCTTTCCCTCCGTGAAGCCCTGAGACTTTACCATTTATAAGAAGTCCAAAATAATTAGGAGAAAGCAGAGGGCCTTAACACCTGTGGAACTGCCCAGAGAATGCCATCTTCCCTTTACATCCTCCTTGTACTACAAGTCTGAATCTGGATAATTTTATTATTAAAACAGTATCAACATGTCAACAAGATCCCATTCTAACAGAGCTACCCGAATGTTTAGTTTGTAAACATAACTTACGATAATTTGTAAATGAAAGTCATATTGATTACGTTTTGTATATCCTATTAATAAACCCATGATGTCCAAATTTAAAAACATACTTTCTAGTAGTTTATATTCACTCTTTAATCTCTAATTGAAGGCCTAATTAAATACTTTTATGCTTCTCTTCTCCATATTTCTATTAATAGCCCTTTCTCTGCATATAGAAAAAAAGGCAGTGAAATAATTCTATTTTCTGTCTGCTGGAAGAAAAGGAAAATGACTAAGGTCTGGGAATCATTGTTGGAATTCATTTATATATATTATATGCTAACTACTAACTATATGTTTTGAAAATATCCATAATTACTTAAATTAAGAAAATAGTATATTCTCAATATAGAAACTTGAAAGATACAGAAAAATAGAAAATAGGTTAAGCAAATTCTTCTTTCATCCATAACATTGTCAATATTTTGCATTAGCCTTTTAGAACTGGATCCTAATACTAAAACCTCAGTTTTGATTACTTACATTGTAGTATTTGAGATTCAATAGTAATTACTGTTATTAAATTGCAACTAGAATAATAAAAGATATAATTATTACCTTTAATATAATGAGCTCCATCCTTAAGATATCCTCTTCACTGCAAGCACCATCAGTGACATAAGCAAACTCTTGGAGCTTAGGAGCATAGATTTCCTTTAAAATGGATTTTAAAATTAGTGTTAAGCACAGTTGAGATTGAGGTAAGAACAAAAGAATTATATACAAACTACCTACAGGCTTCATTTTATATATATAATAGATTTCAGAGAGGAAAGGAGATGGGGGGAGAGAGAGGAACGTCAATGATGAGAGAGAATCGTCGATTGGCTGCCTCCTGCACGCCCCACACTGGGGATTGAGCCCGCAACCCAGGCATGTGCCCTTGACCAGAATCGAACCTGGGACCCTTCAGTTCATAGGCCGACACTATTCACTGAGCCAAGCCAGCTAGAGCCAGGCTTCACTTTTAAGGACAGGTTCACAAAGGAAAATCTTAGTAAAATAATTCTACAATAGCCAAAGCAACCATACATTTAAAGGTATCTTTAATATCTAGGTCTAAATTAGCCAACTATATTAAATGAGACTTATTTTCATGGAATTGATCTTGAATTGCAGTTAATAAACATCAGTATTTTAAACAGTCATTTCAGTTAAAACACAAAAAGCCACTCTTGTTTTAAGATTGCCTATTACATTGGTCAGAATAAAACAAAAACACTCAACCAGTGAGTTCTAGAAACTGAAAACATTTCCTTTACGTAATACAAAAGGATGGTTTGTGTAGTTGGCTGATAACAGGTCTGCTTTAACAGTCCAGAGAACTAGGATGGTCAAATGAGCAGAAAAGATGCCTGCCACAGATGAGAACAGGCTAAATATGAAGATTTCAGTCTAGAAAGATATCTGAAACAAAGTATTATTTCGGTTCAGAATCGACTGAATACAAACTTAATCACCAAATTTGGCAGAATTTGGAGATATCTCTTAAAGCTCAAAAGGCAAATTTGGAAGAAAAAAATACACTTAAGGAAATCAATGCATGATTTAGTCCTCCAAACACAGGCTTCAAAGATTTCAGGTGAAGGTACTAATGATACTCATATTCATATTGAGATTGTGTGAAGGAAAATCTCAAGCAGGAAAGGAGTTGCCTTCTATCCTGGCACCACCATCAGATACAAAAATATTCTTTTAACCCAAAAAAGCATTTCATTTGATTGGTTAATCAGTTGTCAAAGACCATTCTATTGGGTCCAAGTGCCATAATTCTGTATATAGGGACAGCATCAATATATTCCGTTTGGCAGAATGAGCCATGGAACATTTGACCTAGATACTAATTCCAGAATTTAAACCGGAAACTTATAATAGGCTTGAATACTAAAAGGCAACTATAATATTTATCTAAATCATAATGTTCAGAAAATAAGGAAAAACCCACTCATCTTCCCTAAGGAGTTAATATCAAAGTAGTAGTGTTTATGGAATTGATGTGTTGATTTTAAAACCTGGGTCGGTAAATATGTCTCTGAATAAACTTTTGAGAACTTACCTCAAGTTTGGAAGCAATGAATAATGAGGTAATTCCGATGAGTTGGAGCATATTTTTATTTATATCCTTTTGTGTCAACATAAATCTATCAAAAAAGTCTTGCGCAAGGTAAAAGGTCTCCCGGTGCAGTGTGTATACTTCGCACACCTAGACAAGAACCCCGAGATTTAAATACTACTCCATGAGTTTCTCCAAGTTAGCAAGTTGTGTCTTCGCGTACCTGACAATACTTTTGTAAGCCCAACTTTGCTTTTTAGGGGACCAAAGTTAAGATTGGGGAGAAAAATAACATGCAGTGATAGGGTAAACAAATCTGTTGTCTGCATTTACTCTTATTTTATAGTTTTTTTCCATACGGACTTAAAAAATGTATTTATTCCCAGATACATTTTATTTTTACTATGAATGAGAACTTTTTTCTATTAATTTCCTAATTGTTTATTGCTGACAGATAGGTAAATTTTCATGCTTAGTTTATATTCTTATCCTAATAGTTCCAACTGATTCTCTTCTCACTTTAGATTAAATGACAATGTTGTTCCTTTCAATGTTTTTATGTCATTTATTTTTCATGTTTTACTGTACTAGCTAAAATTGTAGAAGAAAACTGAATGAATACCATTGGTGATAAACTCTTTTATCATATATCTTGTTTAGGACTGTAATGGGAATTCCCCCATTTCATTATTAATAATAGTATCTGTCATTTCCACATTTATCAGAGGAGAAGCTTTTAATTCCCAAAATTCCATGATGTAGGGGCCGCTACCCCCATTTTGAAGATAAGAAAACAGAGGCATAGAGGTTCTGATAAACTGTGTTAAGGAAATTTATTACTGGTTTACTTCATGTCTTAAAATCAGATATGGATACTGAATTTCAAAAAATATCTTCCACATATAGTGAGATCTTATGATTTAAACTAGGTAATAAACTAGGTAATAAATAGGTTAAGGTAATAAATAGCTTTTTAAATGCTGAAACATCTTTCAAATAATGAAAGGATATAGGGTTGGGCAAAAGAAGGTTTACCCAACTACTTGATAGTTTATTATTTTCCATATGAACAACTCTAAACCTGCTTTTGCCCCGCCCTGTATATACTAAGACAAAGTAGAATGTAACACTGTTGGATTTGTCTTAATATATTCTGTACAGTTTTGCATACATAATCATATATTTAAGGGAAAACAGGAATACATTTGATAGACAATCACTAGATAAAAATCAATGAAATGTAAAAAAGAAAATAAAGCAAAACCAACATAATTGTGCTTAAATTGCTTTCATGATCACAAGACACTTAGAAAAAATAAAAACCCAATCACCTTATAACCACATGACTGAAAAACAATCTACCTTTCTAGTCAGAATAAGGAATTAAGATAACCTGACTCGAACATTTTGTAGTCTTAATACCCTCAACACCTTGAATAGCGTCCGGTACACAGCAATACCCTAATATCAAGAATTCTGAATTGGGTTTGGGTTGTGTGAGATGTAGTGGCTGTGTCCTCATGATCTTGCTCTTACAGACATTTTCCATTTCGGTACTATCAACTACAGTAAGTACCCCCAAACAAGGTGGCTGCTGGCAATGGATAATACACCATGAGGGCACATGAAAAGCACATTTACGTCTATTTTCCATCATACAGAGAAGGGAAATTTGTATTGCTGGAACATACCTCTAAAAGCCAGTCTAGAAGTATTGACCTCATTTGTGGTTCCAAGTCAGAATGCAGAACTTCAAAATGTTTGTCATGAACATATCGGGTCTCTTTCTTTAACATGTTTAGCCAAACATCATTCGAACATCCCCAGCTATGGAAAAAGGGTAAAAAGAAATAATTGTGTGGTTTACATAATATACAAGCTATGTTTTACATTGGGAAAAATTCAACTTTAAGACACTGAAATCCAACTTTCAATTTAGAACTTGATAGGAGACACTCTTAAGGTAGTTTTATCTACCTTTTAGCATGAAAAAGTAGAAACCTGAAATTATACAGCAAAAACCTGGATTATGATAATCTAAGTTGATGGGAACAAAAAAAACATTCTTTTGAAATCTATTATAATAATCCTGTTTAAGATAGCCATGTTTTCTCAAGAGCAATACTAAAAAGGCAAATATTTAAAGCTTATGATCCCAGTAGAGACAAGTGTTAACCACCTCCAGCTAGTTCACCAATAATAGAGTCACCTACAGTGACTCTAAATTACGAGAGGTTTTGTATAAGCTGTACTTCCTAGTCCTGTTCATTAACTAGAAAAAAGTATAGACCTTACTAAGCTTGGTAACAAATAGATGGGATTGATATATCAAATGATACATGTTAAAATGTTTCCATCTTAACAATTTAGATAAATTCTTTAAACTCCATTAAGGTGATTCAGTTCTGATAAGGCTTACAGTACTCAGCAAGCAAATGAAAATAACTATAGAAGCAATGTTTAAAATTCCTCTATCATTTGCAAATAGCACTAGTCAGATTATATATGCGTAAGTATCGGTAAAGAAAGCAATTTACAAGTTTTTCTATCTTATAATGAAGGCAAAAAAATAAAGTAATGCCATTTATGAAATCAGAACAATTTTAATCTCTGATATTAAATTACTGAAAGTTTTCTTACCTTAAATCTGGCAAAGGTGAAGGATTAATAAAAAGATTTTTAAATCTATAATTTGTAAATCTGGAGAAGTCACTTGTTTCTATTTCTTTGTGGGGTGTTTCAATGATAATGCAAGGACTGATCCCCCCAGATAATGCAGGTGGCCAACAGTTCTGTCATTTAAAAGAAAAAAAGAATATCTGTGCAATAGGAAACCAGCTTTTATCTGAGATCTTTCATAAATGGAAGCTAGTATTTCTAAACAGTGTACAGTTTTCCCCAAACCACTGCTAGCTAACATGCTGACAATGTAGTAAGTTGGCAGTTCTACTTATATTTTATAAATAAGTCGTATAGCTCATCAATTTTCATAAAGAGTAACTGATAGGCTGTTTTAGACAACAAAATACAATTCTGGAAATACAAGACATTATGTATTGGGAGAATGGAGGAATAACAATGCATCTGTAGTCAGATACTAATAACTTACAGATTTATAAAACTGCTCTGTTATTTATCAATAGTGGCAAGGGCACCTTGTTTTATAAAAAGCTTCCCCACGTGCCTCCCCCCACCCCCTAGTTAATCTTGCTCTGATACCTTAGATTACTTTCAGGCAAAACCTTAAAAATGGAGGCAAGTGGAATCAATTACTTAAGTCCTACTTAAAGGCCCCTTTCCCCCAATGCTGGTTTCAAAGAGAGCCACTGTCTCTAAGGTTTCCTTTACAACACACAGGAGGACTTGGGTAGCAGAGGGCTGGGTGCCAGTTGTCAGTGACCTCGCATCCTATTTGCGCCTCAAGGAGCAGCTATGAGGACCCTCCATTCTAGCCACAGGGGAACAAAGAGCAGTACATGGGGCAGATTAGGCGGGCCCGGGTGCAGTGGGCAGCTCAGCTCCGAGGAGGAATTCACAAAGAGGAACCAGCTGCTTCAAGGCAAACTTGAGCAGGATTCAGGCACATACAAACCGCCCTTAAGAGAAGCGCCTCCCTGCTGACCTCTAGGGGCAGCAGGTAACAGTGTCAGGCGAACCTACTGCAAAGCCAAGCCCAGCCCGCCCCGTTCTGCATTACCCTAATCTCATACTGGTGTTTCTGGGCGACCTTCTCCTCTCTCCTCTTTCTGACATCCTGAAAAACAGAAAAGGCGGCTGTTACACTAGGTCCCAGCAAGCAGTCTCCTCTCCTCTCCTCTCCCCTTAACTCGCCTGGGCTGTTTTTCTCTTCTTGGCCTGAATTATCTGGGCTTCTTGGGGGGAATCAGTCTGGCTGGGCTGGGGCTGCTGCTTAGCTTGTAAACGGCTGCTGTGGTGGGTTTTTAAAAAGAACGCTTAATTAGTAGATCATGCGTCTCAAAGACCGCAGCTAACACGGAAACACATCTCCAAGACAAATAATGTTACCTGCGTCTTGACATCCTTCTCTCCAGGTGTAGGAAACCTCTGGAGGGGAGAGAGAACGAGTCAAACACATCGCCATCCCTCCGAGTGCCCAGTGGACGCCGACCCGGAGGCTGCAGCTAAGCCCCCGTCGGTGGTCCGACATCCCCCCCCCCCAACCCCCCGCCCTGCTGTCCGCACCACATTCGCTCTCTCATGGCGTCAATTTTGGACACAAGCCTGCATTTCCCCCACCGACTGTACAGCCAGGATGCAAGTGGAGTCTTCAAATATTTACAAAGCACACCCCAGCACCCCAAAGCGCAGGGAGGAAGGTCTCCCCAAATGGGTCTTCTCTGCACCCTCCCCTCCCCCGCGAGTGGGGTGAGACAGCGCCCCCACTCCCTCCGTCCCCGCTGCGCCGCGAGAGGCTGTGGAGAAGCCGGTTCCGCGCCAATTTGGAGAGCGGGGTGGCGGGGCGGCGGGGAGGCAAGGGGCGGAGGGAGCGGGCTGGTCGCGCCCTTCCCCTCCTACCCCCACCCGGGCCTGCCCGTCGCTTAGAGGGGCGCCGGGACCCCAGCTCCAGGTGGGGGTGACAGTGAAAGAAAGAGGTTGTTAATTAAAGACCGGGAACTGCTGTTCGGGACTTGTCTCCCCGTGAAGGGGACCCAGACACCCATCCTCTCCCGCGGGATGGCTCCCCAAATGGGGGTGGGAGAGAAGCCCGTAGCCGAGGGGAGTTTCCCGGGGCTGGGCACTCAGGGGAGCCCTCCACCCCCGTCGCGCCCCGACCCCCTGCCAGAGGCCCCGGCAGGCACCGGACGCGGGGAGCCAGCCCCACCAGCCGCCCAGTCTCAGCGCGCCCCTTGCCCCCCTCGGGCTCCCGCCGGGAACGAAGCCGCCGAAGGAGGGGGCTTTCTTCCCCCCGCACCCCGCACCTCCTCACCGCCGGACCCGCCGCTGGGCTCTCAGCTGGCGCCGGCGCCAACCCAATATATAGGCCCGCCCCGCACGCATGCGCCTCGGACTGACACCTCCACCCCGCGCGCTGCCCGCCCCCGCGCGGCGCCCCGCAGCCCACGCGCCCGGCCTCGGTCCGCGGCGGCCCACCCGGAGGGGCAGCGGGACGCCTCCCGACCCCCCGCCTGCGGCCCCCGCGCCCCCTCCACCTGCCTGCGCGGCCCGCCGGCGGGAGGGCTCTCTCAGAAGCTCCTCCCCGGACCCGGCTCCCCGCTCGGCTTCCGCACCTCCCGCCAATCGGTTCCGTTCCCTCCCGCCCGAATCCCGGGTCCTGGGGTGTCAGGCCAGCCCAGCGCGCGACCCGCCGCAGCGACTCCGGGGAGCGTAGAGCGGCCGAGAGGGGGCCACCCCGCCGCGCACCCTCGCCGTCCCGCCCCGGCCCCCAGGCCCCGGGCTCTTGCCTCCGAGGCGCGGGGAGCGAGCGGCCCGCCCCCGCCGGCGCGCGGGCCAATGGGAGGCGAGGACGGCGCACAACGTGGAGCAGCTGCAGATGTAAACACAGCCCGGCGCGCGGCGGCCACGTGGGTCCCGCGCCGCGCGTCTGCCCCGGGGCTGGCGGGAGCCGCCGGTGGCCGCCTCGGGGAACCACGCTCGGGGACGCCGACCTTGCCCTTGGCTCCAGCCCGCCGACCGAGGTACCGATCCGCCCTGTCTCCCCGCCCCCCCGGCAGCCGGCTGGCTCTCCCTCCCGCGGCGGCTTCCCACGCTGGAGTCCCCGCGCTCGGGACTTTCGCGCCGCGTCGCGTCCTCCCTCCCTCTCCTCCCCGCCTCCAGTTCCAGGGCTCAGGGCAGAAGCCCCTCCGGAGCGGGGCCGGTGGCTTCTCCTGTCCCCACCAGCCCGCGCCTCTCCCGGGGCGGGGCGGGGCGGGGAGAGCTGTCCCGCCACGTGCAAGCCCCGGGCCCGCCCGCGGCGCCCCGCCCCGCCTGCCGCCGCCAGCGCGCCCTGCGGAGCCCGCGCGAGCTGCCCGCGCGGGAGGCAGCGGCCCGCCTCCGAGCCATCTCGGGAGGAGGCGGTCCAATGCGTTCCCTCCCCTGGGCCCCCACATCTAAACCCGGGGTCCCCTCGCTGCCTGTTCATGTTCCCGCCCCAGCGCGCCCCAAGTCCGGACACCTCCGAGGAGGACGTGCCGGCGATGATTCGCGAATTGGTTTTGTGGCGGGATCGGTGGGGAAGGGGCTGCCCGCGGGAACAAAGGCTCCGGGTGCGAGGGCCGCGCGCAGGCTCCTTTGAACCCCGGCAGCGGCGCCTGGACGCGGGCGGGCGGGCGGGCTGGTCTCCCGGCCCCGGCGGCGTGTGAGCGCGGGAGGCCGAGGCCCGGGCCCGTCCGGAGATGCACCGGGAGGCGGCGGCCGGGACTCCATCCCCTTCTTCTCCCCGCGGGGTCCCCTCCCCGCGCCTTTTGTGCGTCGCGGTCCGTGCGGGCCTCCGAGCCTGGAGATGATGAGCGCTCTTGGGCCCTGGGGCCAGCGGGGTCCGTTTCCCCGCTTTCTCTTTCGTGTCCGACAACAGCCTCGTGACGCTGGCAAAGTGAGTGTTTTTGTCCCAAATTTACACGTGCGGAAGGAGGAAGAGTCTTGCCCAGGCAGAACCAGAAGGGACCCAGGATCTCGTCGGTCCCAAGAAACGTCCTAGCGGCTGTAATGCTTGCGATGGCTCTCCCGCCCGGGGGGGAGGCGCCTCCATGCGCGGTCGCGATCGCGGTGTAAACCTGTAAAGACATCTCGCAGCCTGACTTTACCAAGAAAAGGGGGGGGGGGGGTCCTCCACGCGAACGTGAGCAGAACCGGTAACCTGGGGGCGTGGATTCGACCATCCCAATGCACCGAACACCAGCGATGGCGATCACATTTGTAGGGTTAACCTTGGAGCCCCGGGCTCACTAGTCAATTACTTGAAAACGGGCATTAGAGATGTACTTCGGTCCGTGCCCTTGACTATGAAGTGAAGAGGGCGCACCTTTAGAAAAGGAGAAGGTGGAAACACCCACAAAACACAGTGACTTCTGCCATTTGCATGTACCTGGTCAGGGGTCCAGCGAGACTGAACAGGTCATGGGCTTACCTGTCAGTTGCCTGAGGTTACAATCCTGCTCCGCTGCAAGGTACCGGATTTCCCTGAGCGAGGGTTTCCCCTAGAAGAGATAAAACAGCTTGTTTCAAGGGTTGTTTCAAAGTTGGCATTTCCTAATGTCCATAGAGCCTGTCTTGCAGACGTAGCTGCCACAGAGCATGCGCAGGGTTAGCCACTGGCTCTCCTGCCCTTCCCGTTCCTCATTGATACTCATAGAAATTAAGAAGTGATTTGAAAGGTGCTGGATAAAACAGAAAGGTGAGTGATAAAACTGCAGTTTCTCAGGGTTGTGTTCCTGTAGCCGTCCTTCTGGGTCTCTATTTTAGGCATCATTATTCAGTGTTTCATGTTTTTATATGTTCATGTTTAGCCCCTTCTTTTACTAATCACCCCGCTTTAAAAATTCACTTACTTTGAAATGTATGAGATTCCTATATAGTACTTGTAATCATTTTAGACACTTGGGCATTTTCTATACTTCCCTACTGTGCATGCAAAGTCAACACACATGGTAAAGCCGCTATTGGTCTCCACTGTGCTTTCGCTTTCAGAAGAAAGGGGGAGGGAACTGGGAACATTCTGAGAGGCACAGGTTTTGTTTTTTTTTAAGTGAGGGCCAGCCCACTTATTTCTTGCTTCCCTGCATTTTCACCTCCTCTGCGAAGCCTCCCCAGGTGCCCTCCTCTGCAGTTATGCCCACCTCACAAGGACAAGAATTACCTTGTAAAATGTCTATTTCCAGCGAGGCCTTGGGCCTCCGTTGGTCATCTTTCTATGGCCAGGGCCCAGCCGTTCAGAGGCAGACACAGTCAGACCTTGGTAGCTGCTGAATAAATGACGCATGGCATATCCCATTATGAAACTTTTCGTTCTCTATGGTTAGCGTGATGGATGGTAGAATTATTCCCAATTAATGTTGGGGTTTTTTAATGAATAAACTGGTGGGGGTTTTTTAGAAAAGTTTTAGAGTTTCAGAGAAATGGAGCATGCAGAACAGAGCTCCCATACACCCTCCTACCCGCCGCTGCCCCTTCCCACAGTTTCCCCCATTATTGACATCTCACCTTAAGGGGCTGCATTGACTGCCAGGTGGACCAAGGGTGATTCATTATTACTTTGTTCAGACTTCCTCAGTTTTCCCCCCGTCTTTTTACTGCTACAGGACCCCAACACCACCACCCTTAGAAACCATGTCTCCTTAAGGTTCCTCTTGGGTGGAAGTTTCTCAGGCTTTTCCTTGTTTCTGATGTCCGTGACAGTTTTGAGGGGGCTGGTCAAGGATTTTGTAGGGTGCCTTTCTATTGGACTTTGATGTTTTTCTCGCGGTTGTACAGAGGTAAAGTGCCGTTTTTATCACTTCATGTCGAGGTTACAGACTCTCAGCGTGGTTTATGACTGTGGGTGCTGGCCTTGGCCACCTGGTAATGTTTGCCAGGCTTCTCCATGGTGAGGTTGCTCCCGCCTCTCTCCAGGCTCTGCCCTTTGGAAGGAAGTCACAGTGCAGCCCACACCCAAGGAGTGGGGAGTTCGCGCCTCCTCTAGGGCGAAATAGCTACAGAATTTATTTGGAATTCTTCTGCATGGGAGATGTTTAGAAATTGGATTAAACTTGCTTATTATCCATCTTAAGCCAAAATATTTTTATAAAAAAGGTTCTTCCAAATTTTAACACTGGACTACTACTCATCAGAAACATTTTTCAGTAAACTGGCTTTTTTTTTTTTTCTTAATGGTCAGTGGCGGTACAGTGGCTACTGGTGGAGTGTGCAGCCACCACCTTGGGTTATGCTCGGGCACCAGTGGTTGCATTTGCATGATCACAGCAACGTCAACACAGTGAAAAAGAACAGTTGTCTTAATTTTATTGTGAAAATAGTTTTGGCTTTGTGTTGCCCTGAAAGAGTCTTTGGGATCCCCAGAGGTCCACACTTCTGAGAATGGTAGATCTAGTTTCCAAACTAGAATGCTGGAAGTCATCTTAGTCCTTTTTTTTTTTTAATCCTTTACCTGAGGATATCTTTTCCCCATTGATTTTTAGAGAGAATAGAAGGGAGGAAGAGGGAGAGAGAAACATTGACTTGAGAGAGACATCAATTGGTTGCCTCCTGCACGTGCCCTCCAACGGAGGTACCTGCTGCCCTTGACCAGGAATTGAACCCATGACCCCAGTCCCCAGCTGACACTCTAACCACTGAACAACTGGTTCCCTTCTTTTTTCTGAGCTCCATAATTATAGCTAGCACGTCCTGAGTAAGGTGACGTGCTAAGCTCCACTCGAAGCTTGTACCTTCTATAATCCACCAACACCGAGACAGGTGCTGGTACTGTCACCCCCACTTTACAGATGAGGAAGCTGAGGCATAACCTGCCCACGACCCATGGTGGAGCCTGACTACGGCAGCCCAGTAGCCTCCTCCCGTCACCGTGTTATCTCCAGATGAACCCTCTTTCCCCTCTGCCTTCGTTCAGGTCTCCAGTCTTCCTTCAGGTAGTGCAGTCAGCTCCTAACTGGTTTTCCTGACCCGTGTCGCCCCCCTCTAATCTGCCTCCCGATGAAATGCATTGCCAGGGCCCGCTGGAATTTCTAAAGCGCAGACCTGTCCCGCGGCCACTGCCCTGCTATGGGTCACCTTGGGTTAGAGGCCAGACCCCTAACCCACAGCCCTGGCACCCAGGAAGTCCACCTGCATGCAGTTCCCACACACCTGCCCTTCTCGCGGGGACCTTTGCACTGCGCCTCGCACGCTCCCCACAGCCGACTCCTGTCTCTCCATGAACCCTCAACTAACACCACCTCCTCTAGAGAGCAGCCCTGCCTGCCCTGGGATGGGGCTCTTCCTTCTACGCCCCCCTCCCCCACGCTCCCTCCCCCACCACGCGGCCTCTACCCCTGCCCTTACCAGGCGGGGCGTGCTCACTGACTCCAGGGAACACTTCCTGGAGGAGCTTGGCAGCTGGCACCAGCTTTGCAGAGGGCTCAGCAGGTCCCAGCTGAGTGCTCCCCCTGGAGTCAGGGCAGGTCCCGGCCTCTGGACTCCCCGGAGGCTAGCAGGGAGTGCCCGGCCTGCCAGGGCTGCTCATGGCCAGGCGGGAGGGGCGGGAGGCGCGTCCCATGGCGGGCATCTTGGGTGTGAGTGCTAGAGCACACCCTGGCCCTGGCCGCCCGGCTCCCTCAGGGTTTGTGATCCTGCACCGTGTGGGGAAAGAGCAGGGACGACAGGGCGGTTCTGGAAATCCCGAGGCCCTGGGTAGAGGTTGAAATAGACAGGAGGGCGCCCGGTGGGTCAGCCTGCTCTGGGCCGGGCAGAGACGGGCCGTGTCCACCAGACCATGAGGTGGGGGCCGGAGAATAAATGTGTTTCACATCACTGTCCCCTCCCGAGGCGCTGTGGAGAGATAGGAAGGTCACATGGTGGAAGGCACTGCTGTAGCTGCAAAGGGCTGGGAGGACTCACGGAGGTGGCATTTTATTTAGTTCACTTAGTCATTTCACACACACCAGAGCACCCAGTGAAGCAAAGATTCCTGCCCCCTCAGAGCTTGATTCTAGTGGGCGGGGCACAGGGGACATAAAGGTGTTGTAGGCTAGTGATAAGAAGAGGACACAGGAAAGCAGCTTGGGGGTGTGCTGGGAGGTGCTGGCCTACATGGAGTGCAGGGACGCCCCTCCCCTGACATCTGAGCAGAGAGCTGAGCAGCAGGGCAGGCCACACAGGTTCACAGGAGGAAGAGCATTCCTTCCGGGGAAGGGCCAGTCCAGGGGGCCTTGGCGTATCTGATGAACAAAGAGGTCAGTATGGCTGGAATGTGGTGAACAGAAGAGAGTAGAAGAGGCTGGGAGGGAGCGCTTTAACCAATCGATCGATGATCGATGATCGAGATCGATCATCGTGTGGCTGTGTGGAGAGCAGTTAGTAGACCCGTGGGACCCAGGGAGCCTGGACAGGATGGGGGGCTGGGGCTGGTGAGAAGTGGCTGCGTTCAGCGTGTATGTTGAAGGCAGAGCCGAAGGTGCGCTGATGGATGAGACGTATGGGACAGGGACCACTCCGAGGTGAGCAACTGGATGCCCAGTGCCCGTCCCTGGAACGGGGCAGATGCAAGGAGTGGCTTTCCCCTTCCCTTCCACTCTTTCTAAAAATCAATGGGAAAATGTGCTCAGATGAGGAGTAACAAACAAACAAAAAGGTCAGTTCCAGGATAGTGGTAGCTCAGGTGGTGGGGGAGATGAATGGGGTCTGAGGGATTCACAATGGGCTTCAACTGTATCGGTAACGTTGGATTTCCTTCAAAGCATCTGAAGCAAATACGGTGAAATGTTAAGGTTCTCACGCTTAAGGAAGAAATTCTCAAGTTGGTTGGTGGACACATGTTCACTGTATAACTCTCTGAAGTTTTTGGTTCTCTGGTTGCAAACTTGTCTGTTTATTTCATTTATTCACTTGGCCTCTGGCCCCCACTTCTGTAGGCAATAGAGCCTGGGATGAACCCTCACTTCTGAGCCTCCCTTGTGGCTGCCACAGCTCAGGGGAAGGTCCTTAGACACCCCAGGGAGGAGGTTGGGGCAGACAGCACCTCTGACCTGCTCTCGGTGACCTCGGCCCAGCCTTCCTTCCCCACCTCGTTCCTGAACTTAGGTCTGTGATCGCGGCCAAGCTCTCCTACCTCAATTGTGAGTAGGAGATTGCAAACTGGGATTGCAAACCCTACTTAAAATGGAGCTATATTTTAAAATACTTGTTCTGTTTCATTGCTTTGGGTTTTTTCTTTTTTTTTTTTTTTTTAATATATATTTTATTGATTTTTCATAGAGAGGAAGGGAGAGAGATAGAGTTAGAAACATCGATGAGAGAGAAACATCGATCAGCCGCCTCCTGCACATCCCCCACGGGGATGTGCCCGCAACCCAGGCACACGCCCCCGACCGGAATCGAACCCGGGACCTCTCAGTCCGCAGGCTGACGCTCTATCCACTGAGCCAAACCGGTTTCGGCGCTTTGGGTTTTTTCTTCAGGGACACTAACTTTACATTCGTACAATTTCCTCTGCTCACCTTCTCCCTCACTCCCTAATGATTTTTATTAATTTTTATCTCCTTCACGTTTATTAGGGTTCTTTATATATTCCAGAGCCCTTACAGTCGTGTCTCCTCTCTTGTGTTTCGTCATTTGTTGTGGTTTCTGTATTTTTTTATACTTATTTTCTAAACCTCCCCGTCCCTGTTCCGCGTCCTGTTCCCTGTCCGCTTGTGTTGCCTGACCATTGCTTCCTTGAGTTGTCTGGTTCTGCTTTGTCAGCTTCCTGCGCAGCCGCCCCTGCCTCGGTGTATACTTTTTAAGTGTACAATAGGATGTTGTGTTAAAATGTCCTTCTGCTTTGTGGCCACATTTCTCTGGTGAGTTTTTGTCATCTGCAGGGGAGTGTTGCTGCTCCTTTTCAGACTTCCGTCTGACGGTGCCTTTGCCTGGATGGTTTTCCTCCAGTGCTTTTGGTTGGGTGTTGAGTTACAACTCTTATTTCTGAACTAGAGGCCTGGTGCACAAAAATTTGTGCGGGGGGGGGGGGGGGGGTCCCTCAGCCCGGCCTGTGCCCTCCTGCAGTCTGGGACCCCTCGGAGGATGTCCACCTTACGACCTGAAATCTTTCTGTTGCTAAATCAGCTGACAGTCTATGCAAACTCCCTTACAGGTAATTAACTGCTTTTCTCTTGTGGCTTTTAGGATTCTCTTTATCTTTAACCTTTGACATTTTAATTATGCTATGTCTTGGTGTGGGCCTCTTTGGGTGCATCTTGTTTGGTTGGGACTCTCTGAACTTCCTGGACTTATGTTTTTTCCTTCACCAAGTTAGGGAAGTTTGGGTCATTATTCACATAGGTTCTCAATCTTTGCTCTCTCTCTTCTCCTTCTAGTACCCCTATGATGCAGATGTTACATTTCATGTTGCCCCTTATTCTATCCTCATTCTTTTTAATTCTCTTTTCTTTTCACTACTTTTTTTTTTTCTACCTTGTCTTCCAAATCGGTGATTGATCCTCTGCTTCATCCAACCTACTTTTTTATATTTTTTAAATTGATTTCAGAGAGGAAGGGAGAGAGATAGAAACATCAATGATGAGAATCATCGATTGGCTGCCTCCTGCACGCCCCCTAGGATTGAGCCTGGAACCAGGACATGTGCCCTGACTGGGAATCGAACCATGACCTCCTGGTTCATGGGTCGATGCTCAACCACTGAGCAACACCAGCCAGGCCCTGCCAGTATATTCTTGATGTCAGATATGGTATTCTTCATTTCCAACTGGTTCTTTTTCATGGTTTCTATGTTGTTTTTTCATGCTGTTATAGTACTAAGATCTTTGAGCATCCTTAGAACCATTACTTTGAACTCTGTATCCAATAAATTGCTTGCCTCCATTTCATTAAGCTCTTTTTCTAGAGATTTCTCCTGTTCTTTCATTTGGGGCCTGTCTCTTTGTGTTTGTTTTTATGTATTAGATAGAACTGCTATGATTCCCAGTCTTCGTGGCCTTATGTAGCAGGTGCCCTGTGGGACCCAGTATGCAGTCTCCTTGATCTCCTGAGCTGGGTTCTCTAGGGATGTCCCTTGTGTGGGTTTTGTGGGCCTTTCTGTTGTAACTGGGTCTTGATGCTGTTAGCCCATTTGTGGGTGGGATATTGACCCCCAGGCTGGCTGACTGTGAGGCTCAACACGGATCAGGGTGTGCAACCTACTGTACAGGTGCTCTCTGTCAGTTATAATTTGCTTTGATCATGTGTCAGATTTTCTGAGGACACCATCCCAGGTTTCTCCTGGCAATTTTCTGGCTTTCTGAGTTAAACAGAATCTTAATACACTAAGTAAATACTCAATCTGGCACCGATTCAGATGAGAAAGGAGTCTGCTTACCTTGTTCTCTACCTCGTACAGGGGCAATCTGCTTTAGCTGTCTAGAGCAGAACCAGCCATGCAGACCCCAAGTCAACCTCCATGACCTTATTTTCATCTTTGGGGTGAACCCCTCCTCCCCTCTGCCCGTATATTATTGTTATCTCAGCAGAGAGATGACAGGAAATCTCCCTTGAAGTAGGTTATGGTTCTAGAGTGCTGATCTTCCCCCAGGGACTCCTTAACACAGAACTTATTCTTTGAGCTTCCTAGTCAACCATTCTCATGTTTACTGGCCTGATTAAAGTAGAGCCACACAATAGGGGGCATTAATGGACCTGGGGTCTGTCCACACTGCCCCTAAAATGTTTTTAAAGATTGGGTCTGCCTTTCTGTTGGAAAAGAGCCATTGAGAATTCACTAAGCTAGCTTGGAAAAGTCTAAAAACCAATGTATTAAGCCCTATATTTGTGGGTGTGTTGTTTTTGTTTGTTTTTTCATAGGTTGGTTGGAGGGAAGAAGTACTGGCTGGGAGTTACCTTCAAATTCATACTCAGTGGTTATTTTAATATACTAATTTTAGTATAATATACTATTTTACACGTTTTTAGAGTGTATATTAAACACATCTTTTGGACAAGTAAAACTCAGCAGCAAATATTTTAAGATATACCTAGTTTTAAGACTAACAGACATAAAGAAAAAAAAAAAACACAGAAAATCTGACAAATGTGAAGTTAAAGGACATTTTATTTACTGACAGATTAAGAACCATAACTCCAGGTGGTGCAAAATGCACCATTGAACCCAATTACAAAGAACTGGTGTTAATACACAATTTTTAAGCAATGCTACACTTATTTTTGGCAAAGTGCTGTATTGTTTAGTCTGTGTATAAAACTGACCAGCTATGAACTAATCAGTATAAAAAATTTCTATAAAAACAGAAAAATTTAGACAGTGGCTCAAGAAAACAAGCTGCCATTTATGCATAGATTGATGTACAGTATACAACCTAACCAAATGTCCCTTTTTTAGATTTCAAGTTGTTGAAAAAGTTGTGTGTCCAGAAACACATCAAGAAGGCACATAGTGCAATCTACAATACTCTTCAGTTTCTACAACTGATGCCCTGCCCTTGAAAAGCAAATGTGTTCACAATTTTACTTGAGAAATAAAAAAACAAAGCCACTTTCTTTAAATAACATACACAGAATTATTGATTAAAGTTCCAAACCTCTGGAGGAAAATACAACCAAAAAGCAAGCAAAACCACTCACACACAACAAACCTGGAAACATACACATCTAATCTCCCCAAGTACTGGTTTTCAGAAGTCCATCCAGAAAAACGAATACTAAAACTTCAGGCAAATATAGAGCAAAACTGGGCATTTAACAATTACACACTTTTAAGAAGTAAGGAAAATTCTCAATAATATACAAAACATTATCTATGTAAGCTGCCTTCCTCTGAACAGTAACTTCTCCCACATAAAGGGTAATGTTGCAAATAGAAAAATATACCCTTCTCGGTTTGCTTTCCAGTACCTTTCTCCACCCTAAACCACTGTGATTGGTGTCAAATTTCAAGTGAAACTGGTACATGGCAAGGCTGACACCAAACATTATGTTGGTTTTCTAAATAAAGCATTTTAAATAAAACTTTAAGCATTACAATAAGTAGATACGGATGCCACTTATAACACATCAACCTGGCAGTGAAACATCCATGGTAGTAGCCCCCCTTCTTTTTTAAAAGAATTTAATCTGTGTGGGGGCCGTATAAAATAAGATAGCTTTAGGATAACGTTAAGGTAACAGGACAAACAGATGCTAGTATCTCCAGCACAAGGAGCAGTCTCTTAACTGATTCTAAAAGCAAAAAAACTAATACTCGGAAACGCTTAAGCTGTCTCCATTCATCTATTTAAGTTTAAGTGTCTATCTTCTGGTTGGAGTCCTTCATTTTTGTTTGTTTCCAACTCAAAGAAAATGAGGATAAGATACTCTTCTTTGCTCTTTTCTCCTAAAAACATAAAAGACAATACATGTCCTTGAGGAGGAAGAGAAATAGCAAAGACAGATTCAATGAAGATGTAAAGGTTACCAACCAGTGTGCTACACAGATCTGAGAAGTAAAAACAGGCAATGCTGAATGGCCCTCTCAAGTTTTAAGTAAATTGTCTTCTTACTAGAATCAAAGTACTGACACAACAGAGAACGCATGTAAAAAGGAGCAGTTTGCATGGAAACTGGAAAAATGAACTGAAAATTAATGTTAAAAAAAGGAATAGGAAGTCAGAAATTCAAACACTTTGCACCTTCTGTAAAAAATTCCCCACTCAGCCAGCAATATAAATGCATTGCCACAGAAGAAAATGGATGGCTGATTTTCAACTTTCAGTGCAGCGCGTCATCCAATCAGCTGAGGAAGAAGTAATAAACATAGGATATACATTATAAAATGTTTTATTAACAAAGACACAAACTTTGAGAAACGTGGTTATAAAAACTAAGTAACTCATTCATAAGCACTGCTGTGTATACCACATATTCCAGACTTTTTCCAAGTAACATTCTATATTATCAGTTTATAAACAGTCAGAGCACTCAATTCAAAGGTGTCTTATTTCTCACTGTGTGCATTTTTAAGAAATATGCATTAAAGCACATTGTAAACCACTAATATTTACAACAGCAAAAATAATAATTTACTTATAATAAATTGTATTTTGGCCGTGTTTCAAAGAATACTTAACTTGTCAACGTCATTACTGGTGTATCTTGTACATAATAGATACCTAACAAACATCTAATGACCAAGAACCTCAACTGAATGATGTAACTAGTTTCTTCAATTCTTATATGTGCCAATTTTAGACAAAAACCACAATATATCACAGATGGTGTGGTAGCCCTTACCCTGAAAAAATATCCCAAAGACTAAAATCATTTGTCTTCCAGGAACAAAGCATAACAAAAAGGTCCAGATAAGGAAAACAAAAAGGCAGTAACTGATAGAGATGTAAATGTGTTTAAGGTATCAGGAAATCTGAAAAAATAAAAAAGGGCCACTCAGTTTTATATAGAAATCTGTTCATGCTACCAAATAAATTCTCAAGGCTGAACTTCTATAGCTCGCGAGGTACTAACAACTTGCATGTAATATATGAAGAGATGCCCACGTAGTCAGAGGCTTACATCAAGAAAACATTTAGCTGGTCTATTTTCAAGTTACCAATATATGGCCCTATAACAGACATGATGTGAAAACATACACACCCTCATGAAAACTCTACCTTATCTCCCAACTCAGGTAAACACAAATAGTAACAAATAACTTCTAGCTCAGTTTGACAAAACTTGACAGACTTGGCCCCTATTAGAAAACAAATAAATAAAGGGGTCATTGAAATGGAAAGGGGAAAGGAGAGAAGGGGCTCTAGATTCTTGCTCTAGAGACATTCCTGGCCCTTCATCAACGCCAGTGGAAGAACCACCTCACGCCACCGTCTGCTGCACTACTTGACCGTTTCTGACCCCACAGTCCCAGTCTGGTCAGAAAAGAGCACAGCTCTTCACTGGAGAAAAAGCTCCCACGGCTCCCCGCAGTGAGCGCTGCAGGGTTCCTGAGAAATAGAGTAATACTTCACATAACTATATGCTGCTTTTTCCTCGGAACATTGTAGAGACGTGTACTTAATTAGGTTTGCAGAAGAGATGGGAAAAGGAGCTATTTAATTTTGAAGACGATACTCCTGTCAGCAGAATGTGCTCTGGATTGTAAGTATGTGCTTAACTTTATTTCAGAAGAAATCGGTGAGTGTGGACGGCGCAGCAGAACCATCACAGCTGCTAAGAAATGAAGTGACTGGCTAGCGGTAAGAAACAGATCTCGTGTTGAGTTAACTGGCCTCGCTGGGCATCAAACGCTGCACTCCGGCCTCCTCAGCACCAACACGGAAGAACAGCTGTGGCAGAAAAACAGCCACGGGCCCCATCCCATCACTAGATTCAGTAGAGAGGCCCTTGGAATCTCACACAAGACCGGCCTGTACAACCCACTTCAAATCAACTGCCAGGGAGGTAACTGCCTGCTCCCCTTTTGGTGGAGGAAACAAGCCAAAGTGGTTAAAGATTCTGCCTGAAGCCAGACTTAAAACAAAAGATGAAAACTGAAGAAAGCCAACCTGTCGCTCTTCATTTGTACACCATGAGAAGAGTCCCCAAGAACTCCCCTTCCCTCGCCTGCCACTGCACCAGGAATACAAAGCCTATCACTGTCCCCGTGCGCAGGTGTAACTATGAAATCACTCAAGTGCCTGGACAAGGACTTTGAATTTACAGCTGATGTGAGGTGGTGAGTGGGCAGAGCTGGCAGGAAAGAATCCAAACAACTTAAATAGTGCACTAACAGGTTAGTTACGGACACACATTTTCCAATTGCAACTTCACAGGTCTACTCTAACCCCTCTGCATGTGAGACAAGTGCTCTCGTCCCACGATACCTGTCCATGTCTGTACCACGTCACAGTCACGCCGGAATTACTGAATGCACTGTTCACTGACTCTTAATGTACCTGAATTCCAAAATGAACTGCATGGCTAATCTGGAAAAAACAACAAAACACCACACACAGAGAAATATATCAAGTTTTCTTTCAAAAGACAATTCAGCCATAATTCCATTATAACTATGGCAACTATAACCTGTTAATGCTCATGTTAGTGTGTAAAAATGTATTCGTTATATACAGAAAAGATTATCAAGTACTGGTCAATAAAGTGTATGGCTGACCCTGAGAATAAATTTTTGCTTACTCAAAAGATTGATTAAGTAATACAAAATAAAATGAAATCGAAAGATGCCTATTCTCAACTTGAGAAGAAATGTCTTTAAAATGCTAATTCATGTACATTTTAATAGATTTAAAGACATCACCAAACACTGCCATTGTATTGATATGTTTCCAAAAATATTCTGAAAAAATTTACCAAAAAGTAAATGTTAAGAGCAAGGCATTATGTGATACACAGCATGTAAATCTGGTTTTCAAGATAGTGTCTAAACGCACTAATAAAACGACTATGTGATTGGTCACCAAGTGGCTATAGAGACTTCACATCCAAACACACACATCCACACACATATGTACAAACCAAGAGAAGCCAACCAACCACACTTGAAATTCTTAGTAATTGTACTGACGTGGGCAGGGCTGGTGGACAGCCCAGCCACTGTGCTTGACTTGCCGGGAGTGGCAATCCCTGGTAAGATTTTGGCGACGAAGGCTATTTCTGTTCAGAGCCTGTCTTTCACTGTGTTCTTTTATCCACTGGGAGGGGCGAAAACTCTTGGGTTGTTCCAGAAAAGCTGCATGAGCAGCAACAGCTGCAACATAGCAGTGAATGTGCTGCCCCACTTCATTTTGAGCTTCCACTCTGAAACAGAAACAAATGGGCATGGATTATATAACAGAGTATGTCAGCAATTCAATTTGCCACACTAATTTATGGTTGAATGAGAACTTAGTGTCTCATGGCTGACAGACAAGTTTATATTTTGTGATCATTCTGACAGACAGTGGTAGAAAGCAGCCAACTTTTAATAGAAATATGCCATATAATTGACAGGTGGTTAATTAGGTAGATTTTTTTTTAAAATAAAAAGTGCTTTACACTTTGAATAAATTTCAATTGCAAAGCAAACGCATTTGCATATGCTTTTCTAGGAAGGAAACTAACATTTACTGAATATCTGCATTTACCAACTATTTTGCAAATATTCTGTATTTTAATTCTTGCCATGATCTTAATAGGAAAATATTTTAATTTCTATGTTTTACTGAACAGAAATCCAAGGCACTGAGATGTGTTAAGGTCACAATGATTAACTAACCAGGATTCTAACACAGATTTCCCTGTGGAGGACATGGTTACAAAGCAGATGAATACTGAGGTCCTGTGGCAAAGCGCCTTCACTGCGTTTTCTGTCTATAAGTACAATGTTCTGGGAAACAAGGTTTACACTGTATTTAACAGAAATACGCACAAGGAAAATCTACTCAACACCTTTCTAGTAAGGAGCAGCCACTCATTACTAGAACAATATTTGCATAACAGTATTATAAAGACCCTTGGCTACAAACCATATGATTATTATGTTTTCTATATTAAAAGCTAATGAAATAGGATATATCTAAACTACACTGGAGAGTTTTAAGATTTTTAAGGGATATTTTACACAGGAAAGGCAGTTATAGTATACTGTTTGCAATAACTAGAGGAAAACACTGTTCTTTTTTAAATATAGTTTTTTAAAAAACATAATGGAAGCAGGTCCCATTAAGAAACTAATAAAGAGAAGTTAAAATGAAGACTGGTTCTTAAAAGGTGGCACCTTGAGTCCTTAACCTCCCTGCTCAGACTGATAACACATATCACACAGGCTCAAAGCGAATATACTTACTCTGTGCCAGTGAGTCTTATAAGCAGCTTTTCCTGGCCCTACAATGTTAAATGGTGAGCTATTAAATCACTAGTAAGATTTGAAATACTATTTAATTTTACTATTAGAATGTAGTCAACTTTTCTATATTTTAACTGGTTTACTATGGGTCATGAAAGGCACATATATTACTTAAGATTATAGTATTTGTAAAGGTTAAAACACAATAAAACACACAAGCTGAAGCTCATCTGTACTTATAAAGCACCTTGCTTTTATGTGCTTTGTACTAATATTTTCAAGGATAAATAGAATGAAAATGATCTAACTTTTGAAAAACATGATTTATTTCCTGTTCAGAAAATACAAATAATTACTACATAACCATTTTCCTAATTTTGGTAACACCTAATTTCTATCTTGATTTAGTAGGCTTTAAAAGAATTTCAAATCCAAAAATAAGGATATTAAGAAATATTTTAGTTATTATAATAACTTGCAGTACTTCATGTTCGGAAAGAATTCATATGAAGTTAAATGTGTTTTTTGAACTGTTACATATGGAGAAGTACGTACTTACTTCCCTATGTGTCATTATTAAAGTATAAAAAGATACAAAAACAAGATAGAAGAAATGACAGTCTCACTGCTGCAGAACTACAAACATACAACCAAATGCAGTGCAAGGCCTGCACCGGACGCTGCTTTGTACAAACTGGACGAAATGCTCTGGGCTCCATGAGGAAATCTGAGCATGGTTTTTGTAGCAGATGCAATGAAATTTTACTAAAAAAAAAAAAAAAATAGGTGGAGATCATTGCCTGAAGCAGCAGATTATAAAACAGCATATGCAGCTTGATCCCATGTAGGTTAAAAATGGGGTATATGTGTGTGCACACGGGCGCACAAGGACATACAGGAAAAACAATCTGGAAGGCTATGCCCTGGGGTCACAGCAGTATTCCTCTCGGGGTAGACGAGTGTCATTTCCAGTTTCTGCACATTGGCATTGTCTATTTTCTGCAATACATATGTACTGCTTCTGTGATAATGTTATTTCCAAAGCTGCTGAATATACGTATATACATACTTATATATAATATATATATATACTCATACATACAGACACACATACTTTAAAATATTGAAGAGCATATATACAAATGACAGTAAGTTTAAAATGACTATTAATCATGCTAAATTCTTGAATGGAATTTCTCAAAGGTGAGATCAGAATCAGGAAGAATTTTTAAGAACTGAAGAAATTAATTTGAATTAAGTATGACACAGTTAAATCAGTATCACCTCCAAAAAAAATTATATTGTAAATTTTTGTTGGAATGCCTGAAACACTGACCTCTTAATAAACTTATGGTGCTGAATAAAGTGCTAATTAAGGTCACATTTCCCATCAAAGATCTTACCTAGTAGAAAGCCTGGATAACTATATAAGCAAATTGTTTTTCAATCTGGTACAAGCATATGTTTATCTTCCTTCAAGATAATCTACAATATCGAGACTTAAGAGTACAGCAAACTCTGGTAAAGTTAACAAATTAATGAGCTGTCTGGGCTTTGTTTATATTTGGCAAACAGGAAATAGAAGATACACACAATGGTCTAGTTTGCAGAGTCAGAGCTTGGACGATCCAAAAAGAGGCCCTTAGGAGGACACCACCAACCACAGGAATATTCTGAACTGCTCCAAAGAATCGAGTTCACCTGCCCTTGCCAGGTGTTAAAGGCATTAAGGCAGCGCAGCGTCCTAGCAGTACTCTACAACACAGGGAACCTTCCACTCATGTCCATCATGGACAAGCCAGACTTGGAGCTAATTAGCTGCCATGAGCTTTATTTTATGGGAGGAGCAATCCTGAATATATCCCCGGATAAAGGCCACAAACTGTCTCTAAGTTTGCTCTGGAACATAGCAAACGTCACTGGCCAGGCACTCTCCTTGAACCTCTCTAGGCCCTCAACCCACCTGGCACTGAAACAGCCTGTCAGGCCACGCGGCTTCCCACCCATGTGTCAACAAACACTGGGGATGAAACCTTTCCTCTCTGAGGCAGAAAACAACTCTGAGCAAAATGTTTTAGTAAAACAACCATTTTACTTCATGCCTACGATATCTCAGGTTTTCAAGGTTAAGAGCCATTTGAAGTGACCTCGCTAGGACTACTTGGAGGAGGAGAGTTTTATTTTAAGACATACTATTCTTGTCAAATGTGCTACTCTCAATCCGCTGTACAGTACCAGGGTTAGATTCTAAGCAGAAATGCCAGTCTTTTCTTTCCATGCATTAGCCAAATATTATAAATGGAACGGCTCTCCATTATATAACTGGAGCATGCTATAATATTTTTCTTTTTTCCCCCATGATATCTTATATTTGAATGTCATTCATACAAAATCATCCTCTTCCCTTAAGTGCTTACTACTGAAAATTACTCAGCATGTCAGCTTTCTGCAAAATAAATACGTGTTTATTTAGGTCAGAAATGTTAACATGTGCATTGAAGACAAAGAAAAAACAGATTAAGAGGAGATATAACTTTAAAAAAAAATCTAAATTGAACAAGTTTTTTATACCATCAGCTGCCTTGTGCACTATGCACATACTTCCATAAATCTCTAACAAAATTACTCTTGCGCCTTCTAAAAACTTAGCTTTGGATTGTAGTAAAAATAAATAAAATACATGCTAACCAGAATGCCTGTGGAGAGAAGCAAATACTTACGACGTACCTGGGGCCGCTGGCGTTGTGAAGTTCGTCAGCCCCACAGCTGGCCTCGTGGAGACCAGGGCAGGAGTTATGCACGGCGTACACAGACATGCTGGGGTGTTCGATGAGTAGGTTCTCCATCGGGCTGGTTTCCACCTTGAGAGTGGTCAATCCTCCGGCGGTGAAACACGGCGGAGGGGTGATGAACCAGCTCTCTTCCATCGGACAGGGCTCAAACTGGAGGAAGCAGGAATCACTTGTATCAGCCAAGCACTCAAGAGATGCAGGTAGACAGGAAAAGACTGAAGGATGTTCGGTAGGTGACTCTTCAATGATGTCTTCATCCTCGTCTTCTGCTGCCGACAACCCAGTGCAAGTGTCTAGACCGGAATCCACATGCCGTTGAAATCCCACAGGAGGATGAGTGTCACAACGATATCACGTCAGAGAACAGAAAAAGGAGAGCGATTCTATTAGCTGATGCTCACATTCCTTCATTTAATTTTTTAAAATTTATTTTTATTGATTTTAGAGAGACAGGGAGAGAAACATCAATTAGTTGTTCCACTTATTTATGCATGCATTGGTTGATTCTTGTATGTGCCCCGATGAGGGACCGAACCTGCAACAATAGCATATTGGGATGATGCTCTAACCCAGTGGTTCTCAACCTTCCTAAGGCCAAGACCCTTTAATACAGTTTCTCATGTTGTGGTGACCCCCAACCATAAAATTATTTTCATTGCTACTTCATCACTGTAATGTTGCTACTGTTATGAATCGTAATGCAAATATCTGATATGCTATATGTGTTTTCCGATGGTCGCGACCCACAGTTTGAGAACCGCTGCCTAACCAAATGAGCTATGCCGGCCAGGGCACATTCTTTTCTTTTTTAAAAAATGTGTTTTTATTGATTTTAGAGTGAGAGGAAGAGGGAGTGAGAAATAGAAACATCAATGAGAGAGAAACATCAATGGGCTGTCTCTTGCACACACCCTCACCACCCCCACCCTGCCTGGGGATCAAGCTCGAAACCCAGGCATGTGCCCTGACCAGGAATCGAACCTGCAACCTCTTGGTGCATGGGACGATGCTCGACCAACTGAGCCACACCAACCAGGCTTCCTTCCTTTATTTAGGTCAGAAACAAAATCATTTCTGTTCACTCATAGACTATAAAATAATGTCTGAGCACTGTGTATGTGTGGTGTATCACTGTATGGGGTGGATTATGTTGGCTTTGCAGGAAGGTTTTCAGACTATTTCTGTTCTACCGAGTAAACATGTAACCAGCCATATGGTTTTTGCTTATCTAGTCTGAGGGTTTTCTATTAAAGTGCTCCTGATTTGCCCAGCCAGTGTGGCTCAATGGTTGAGTTTCAACCATGAACCAAGAGATTATAGGTTCGATTCCTGGCTAGGGCACATGCCCAGGTTGCTGGCCCAGGCCTCAGTTGGGGGCACGTAGCACTGATGTTTCTATCACCTTTCCTTCCTCTCTCTCGAAAATAAATAAAAACATTTTTTAAGTGCCCCTGATTTGATCAGGGTATAAGAATTGCAAAACTGGAACATCTAATGTCAATCAATTTCATTAAGTGATCACCTAGCACAGGATGTTTCTGCAACTTAAAAAATATATATGTTTTTATTGATTTCAGAGAGGAAGGGAGAGGGAGAGAGAGAGAAACATCAATGATGAGAGAGAATCATTGATCGGCTGCCTTTTGCACACCTCCTACTGGGGATCAAGCCCGAAACCCAGGCATGTACCCTGACCAGGAATCGAACTATGACCTCCTGGTTCATAGGTCAACACTCAACTACTGAGCCACAATGGCTGGGCTGTTTCTGCAATTTTTTAATACAAATTTTTGTTTATTTACTTTTAAGTCTTAAGAACCTTCAAAGTTTTTGATTTTCTTATGCAAAAACTAAGAGGCAAGTGTTTCCACTTTTGCTGGATGATTAATGGCAGAAGATACCTTACCGATGAAGTCGACAAGAATCCATTCATCATCTTCCTTCTCACTAAATTCTGGTTCTTGGTTGGAAGTATTGCCTTCACCCAAAAACATTTTGTTCAGTCTCTGGAACATTGTTAAGGCAAGACTGAGACTTTGGCTGGATGTCTTTATAGCTGAGATTTCAAAACCGTCTTTAGTCAGCCTGATGCACTGACAGGAGATTAAAGTGCACAAGGTGCTTCTTCAGTTTCGGCAGGGAGGAGAGTCATTATCCCTAAAATAAAACAAAAATAAGGTTATTTCAAATCAGCATCTCTTTATATAATATGTGTATGTCGTTTCAGAAGTGCACACACAGGGTTAACCAGGTGGTTCAGTTGGTTGGAGCATTGTCCCATGCACCAAAAGGTTACAGGTTAAACTTCCAGTCAGGGCACATACCCAGGTTGTGGGTTCCATCCCCAGTCTGGGAGCGTACGGGAGGCAACTGATTCATGTTTCAATTCATTTCTCTCTCTCTCTTCTCTCTCTCGCTTCCTCCCTTCTTCCCTCCTTCACTCCCTCCCTCTCTCTCTCTGTAAAAATCAATTAAAAAACCAAACACGCCCTAACCAGTTTGGCTCAGTGGATAGAGCGTCGGCCTACGGACTGAAGGGTCCCAGGTTCGATTCCGGTCAAGGGTATGTACCTTGGTTGCAGGCACATCCCCAGTAGAGGGTGTGCAGGAGGCAGCAGATCGATGTTTCTCTCTCATCAATGTTTCTAACTCTCTTCCTCTTCCTTCCTCTATGTAAAAAAATCAATAAAATATTTTTAAAAAAAACCACAAAAACCAAACACATCCCTGGGTGAGGATTAAGAAAATTACATAAAAGTGCACACATACACCCTAAGAAGAAAGCACATGCCTTAGCCTTCAGTTACAGCTGTTCCTTTCCTGCAAGAGCCAAACATAAGATCTGCAATAGCCATTACTTACAAAACATAAATGAGTGCTCAAACACAACCTTTCAATGCCTTAAAATGTGAAATAAAAAGCAAAGAGTTGGCATAGATACAGAAAACAGACTGATGGTTGCCAGAGGGGAGGAGGGTTGGGGGACTGGGTAAAAAAGTTGAAGGGTTTTAGAAGTACAACTTGGTAGCTACAAAAGTTATGAGGATGTAAAGTACAACGTCGGGAATATAGTCAATGATGTTGTCATAACCACGTATAGTACCGGGTTGGTACTTGAATTATGCGGGGGACACTTTGTAAAGTACATGACCGTCTAACCACTCTGATGAACACCTGAAACTATACGGAATGTAAACTGTAATTAAAAGATAAAAAATTTTCAAAAACTGAATGGATTCAGTGCTTGTAGAATTTACTTTCACAGCCCAATTCAGGCTGTGCCTCTGGCCTGGAAGGGTCCCAAGCCGCCGCCCGCTCCCAGCCCGTACTGGTGTGGCGAGCACTGTCTCACCCACAGGACGTGGACCTCTGTGGCTAGAGTGACAGCTTCTTCAGGGCAGGGACAATGCCGTTCATTTTTGTTGCCTCAGCTCTTAGTGCAGCATCAAATCCAAAACGGAAATTTAACTGTTTATCATATGAATTAGGAACGGTTTCTTGTAAATAAAATGGTAATTCATTCTAGAATTCATTTTTTTAAAAAAATATATTTTATTGTTTTACAGAGAGGAAGGGAGAGGGATAGAGAGTTAGAAACATCGATGAGAGAGAAACATTGATCAGCTGCCTCCTGCACACCCCCCACTGGGGATGTGCCAGCAACCAAGGTACATGCCCTTGACCGGAATCGAACCTGGGACTCTTGAGTCCAAAGGCTGACGCTCTATCCACTGAGCCAAACCGGTCAGGGCGAATTCATTTTTTTAATAAGGTAAGAGCATTGTGAGTAAAAATACTATTGGAGACTTGCAAAGAAAAAAAAAAAAAAGGAGGGAAGGACTTGGTTCTTTTTCACACCTTTGCTTTTACCATAAGGGATAAATTGGAATTTATTTCATTATAAATTTATACATTTAAATAATTTCAAGCTGCAATACTGCTTTTCTGTAAGTAGAGGAGCAAAAACTAGATATTAACAGTCTTGCAATATGATAGTCAATTGCCCAGGAGCTGCCGAATGAACCCAGTGATAGTGTCCCCCTATGCCAGGCCCTCATCTTCCCCTGGCTCATTTCCTCTTGTGCTCTGTATTTCTGGTGTGTGACTATAAGCATACCTAACTGCATGTAAAATCAGCAAGTACTGCACACTTTAAGCTTCACAATTCCTACAGCTGGCATGGAAAAACTGACACTGTAGGAAACGAAGGTGGAAACAGCCATTCACTGTGCAGGGGCAGCAGAGGTCCGTGTGCCCGGCTCAGTGCTGGCTCTGCGGCTTCCGTCCTGTGAGTTGGGAAGTTAACACTGTTGCCACTGGCAGCAGTCCACCTCAGGGAGTTCTGGTGAGTTCTAAATGAGGAACTCCAGCCTTGTCTGATCTTATTCCAGGTTTATGTATTCATGTCTCCCTGGTTACCTGAAGAGCCTATCAAAGCTAACACCAAAGAGAACTTTTAATTTTCCCCACAAACGTAGGCACCGCCCTTCATCCCATGCTGTGAGCAGCAGCAGCATCCCACAGTTACCCTTGGCTTCCTTCCCGCCTGGCCGCCCTCCCTGTTCCCCATCCCTCCACTCCTCCCAACTGTCAGCAAGTGCTCTTGACTCCAGCTGCCTGTGTGTGGCTCAACCCACCTACTTCCCTCCACCACTCTCATCCTAGTTGAAGACAACCTTCCTGGTGTCCCCCCCACTCTGCCAGTCACCACCTCCAAGGTGAGATCCAAGGGTTCTGTGGTTGAGCATCAACTTATGAACCAGGAGGTCAGGGCGCATTGCCAGGTTTGCGGGCTTGATCCCCAGTAGGGGGCGCACATTTAGGAGGCAGCCGATCAATGGTTCCTTCTCATCATTGATGTTTCCCTCTCCCTTCCTGAAATCAGTAAAAAAATACATATACAAAAAAATGAAATGAGATCATGCAGGCAACCTCTTGGCAAGGCATTTGGCACAAAGTTCTCAGTCAACATCGACTATTCTACAAATACTTATTGAGCACTCAGTAGGCATCAGACGTAGTGTTACATGCAGGGAAGACATTGGTAAATAAAGCCCTCCATGGCGAGTGTAACAATCGGCGTGATATATGCCATGGAAGAGGTACTGGTTGTCCCTCAGGTCTACGCAGGAGGAGGTCAGGGAAAGAAGAACCCCTTCAACAGTGACTTTAATCTTGAGTGGCTGAGACGATCGAGAATGGAGGAAGGGGAGAAGGAAACCTGCCACTGAGAGAGGAGGCACCTTCAGTCTGTCTAGGATTCAGGTGGACAGTTGAGCACAGGCTGGATGGGGCGACGCGATGAAAGGGAGGGGAAAGTCAAGGATGACCCAGGTTTGGCCAACTGGAGGATGGTGAGACCATTCACTGGAACAGGAATACTGCATAGGGTGCAGGTTGCACATTCTGGACAGGGTGAATTTGGGAAACCTCACGGCATGCACCTGGCGGTGTCTAGTAGGCAACTGAATATAGGGCTTTGGAGCTCAAGAGCACAGCCTCGGCTGGGGGCACAGACTTGGGAGTTGTCAACGCAGAGTGGGTGACAGAAACCATAAGAGTGGATGGGACCACTAAGGAGGATGAAAGGTGCCTCACTAAATGACACTTCTTTTTCTCATGAGCATGAGCCTTGAATCCATAACTTCAGACTTCTGACATTTCACTTTTAAAAAAAAATCCTCACCAGAGGATGTTTTTCACTGATCCTAGAGAGAGGGGAAGGGATGGAGTAGAGAGAAACATCAATGTGAGAAACAATGATCGGTCACCTCACACATGTGCCCCGACTGGGGATCGAACCTGCAACCTGGATATGTACCCTGACTGGGAATTGAACCCATTGGCGCTCTAACCACTGAGAAACACCGGCCAGGGCTGACACTTCACTTCCAAAGCAATCATGGCTAGCTGTAAATGAGTTAGAATCTGTAGCTCATGAGATTCCTGGTTCACATTTTTACATCCAAATTGGACTGTTACAATTGTTTGGCATGCTATTATGACTATGTAGTACTACGAATGTGTCTTCAAATCAATGACATTTGAATACTTTTGCGGTCACAACCCTCCCCCTAAGCCATTAAATATGAAAACAGGTAAACAGGAAGTGTCACTGCGTAACAGTCTTCCTGAAACCCTTCTGGAAAGCAACGTGGCCAAGTCGTAAGGGCTGGAGCTCTAGTCTGAGAATGCAAATTCAGCTTTATGTTCCATGTACAAGTTAGGAGAAAGTGGGATATGTAGTTCGCCTGCCGTTCTGTGGTGTGACACCTATCCCAAAGATGGACAGTCACAAGCTTTGGTGTAAGTAAAGGTTTTGCATATATAAACTAGAAGGGAAAAAGTTATTTTAAACATCTCTGCTCCACTTCTCTTACATATGGAGGTTAGGGGGTGGGATGGCAGAGGACACACCCACAGGAGAACCCTTGCTTATCCTAAGGGAACTCCGTGTCCCCCAACTGTGATGCTACATGGGGCCCAGACCAGACAAATGGCAGCTGTAAGACAGAAAACACTGCTGGGGTCACTGTGGTGGGGAGCTGTGGGTTCCCAAACTGCAAACTGCCCCTCTGGCTACAGCTCCAAACCCACGAGATGGAAGCCAGCTTGTCTTGAACACACACCACCCTGTCCCAGGAAAGGGGTCTGTGTCCGGGGGAGCTTTTCCATGGGGTGGCACACGCCAATCTTTTGTTTTCCTGCAGTCAGAGGCGGCTGCCAAGTGTCCCAGGCCCTGCAAGGGCACCCAAGCTGGGGTGCGCCGTGTTCAGGAGCACAGCCAGGCAAGAGGCTCATCCTCATCTCTCAAGTCACTGCTGGTTTTTCAGTGACACACCTGTTGGTTCCCAGGGGAAGGATACAGAACGGAGTCTTGCCTAGCCTCCCGGTGACCCAGGGACTCTCTACCCAGTCACTGCCACTCTGGGCCTTGGCTCCCACCAGAACAGTGTTCTCCACCCGGCTGTTTCCATGTGGAGCTAAAGAGCAAAGCAGGAGGGACTTCACTCCTCACCACATGTCTCTGACTTTCTGATAGTCACAACTCTAGGGCAATGATAAAGCTGCAGTGAAAATCCCCAGGACAGGTTTACAAACACAGCTCCGAATTCAGTCGAGGCCTAGGCGGGTGGCGCTGCTTTTTGGGGGGCACCTGCAAGCCTTCAGCCTTAACCAGCCTCCACTGAGCAGGCTCACCCCAGTGGAGAAAGAAGACGAAGTGCCTGTTGGGGCCCCAGCATTTCAAGGCAGCTTTGTCCCTGTAACCCTGGCTCAAAACACCTCCCTTTAAAAAATGTCCTTTTCATTAGAAAGTGAATGAAATAACATTATAGAAAGTTTAGAAAAGAGTTATTATTCCATGTCTTGTTGCAGCCATGGTTAGCGTAGGGTACATTTTGCTCTAGCCTTTCCTTCTACACGTTTCTTTTTATCATTAGTGAGAGTCTAGTGAAAGCAGTTTTGTATCCTGTTACTTAACATTTCATCATCAATGTTTTGCATATTACACGAGTAGAAATGCTCTGTGAGCAGAGGAAGGTGGCTGAGTTGATACTTCTGGGGAAGAGCATTCTAGTTTGAGAAAGGGAGCTTGAAGGAGCTTGTTAGCTTGAAGGCACCAACCTACAGGCAGCCTGGCTCTGGTGTCAGCCTGCTGTGTTTGATCTTGGCTCTGCTACTTGCATCTTGCCTGAATTTAGGATATTTAGTAACTTTTTATGCCTGAGTTTTCTTACCTCCAAAATGGGGATTAGTAAGGATTAAGTGTAAACCACTTAAAATAGCACCTGGCACATAGGAGGTATCCGGTAAATATTAACAAGTTCATGTCAGTTGTTGACTGTGAGCAAGTAATTCAGCATCTTTGGGTCTGAGTGTCTTTATCTGCAAAATGTTTATATAATAATCTGAGCTACAATTTACTGGGTGCTGATGGTATGTGACAGGGACTTGAGGTACTTACGTGTCCCAATGTAGTACTAAGAAAACTGAGGCTCAGAAATTCGGTAACTTGCTCAAAAGTGACAGAGCCGATGAGGGGAGGAGCTGGCATTAGAGCCGCCATTGCTTTTCACTGCACAGGCTCTCAGGCTCCTCCCAGCCTCAACTCTGGCTCTGTGAACTTGAGAACAGCACTTTTCAGTTGGGTTTGGCTGCCAGTAGGCGGCTCCAAAAACAACATTAAAAAATAAAAATCCCACAACTTTGATGATCTAACTTCTGTGTACAGATGCGGCTTCTTGACAGTTTCGAAATACCAGGTGGCTAAACTAAACATATCCTCATTGAAAAGCAGCCTCAAAATTATCTTTCTCTTTACATCCCGTCCCCCTCACTATTTTAGAAAAATAAACATGCTGATTTGAGTAATTTAAAATCCATGTTAAACGTCAGGAAATTCAAGCAAGAAAGTTGTAGTTGCTTGTCCCACTTTGACCCTTATTCCTCTAGTACTACAGGGGGGTAGTCTTCCAGGGACCCATCAGTGTTGGCCTGGAGGCTGAATGACAGTGGACAAAGACAGCTATAGGTGGTAAATCATGGCCTGTTAACCTTGAACTTTGAAAGTAGGGCCATTCCCTAAAGAAACATAAAGGAGCACTCACAGAAAAGAACAAAAAATAGAATGAAAAGGAAAAAAAAGAGAGAGAGACCTTGGTCACAGAAATTAGTTAAGACCCTGTTCCAGGCGGGACCTTTGAAAATCATGCTGCCAGTTCAGAATTACAGTGGCCACAACTTAAAATCAAAAGCTTCCCAAGCGCTGTTCACATCTGCAATGAAAAACGTATTTCAATTACCGAGCAATGTCAGGATCCTTATCACTTCCCTTCACTGACCCCCACAGGCCACTTCCCCCAACCCTTTCCCCAAACCTACTTTGTATTCAGAAAAGTGTTACTTTTAGCAACATATGCGCAAGTCCTGCCAAGTTACAGATGGGAAAGGCGTTCTTCCTTAATCTACTTTAAACTGGAATTAACAGGAGATGATGAGCAGACATAATTGGGTAATACCAATGAAAAGAAGAAAACCTCCCTTAAATTCATCTCCATCTCTGAAAGAGAAAACACTGTCCTTTTAATGGGCCTTGTGTAAGTTCCTCTCTCTGGGCCTCGGGTTTCCTATCCATAAAATAACATCATAAAGCACCCAGCATGTAGGGCGCCTCGCAAACCCGCCACCAGCGCGGATGAAAATGATCAGGATTTTAATCCCGATGGGTCAGCGCTCTCTGCACAGGTGCAACCTCAAACCGTGATGCGCAGAACCCGCAGGGCCACGAGCCCGCCACGGAGAGGTGGGCGGGCGCTTCGAACGCTTCGGCGGCGGCTGCGGGTTCCGGGAGCCGCCGGGCCCACGGTGCCCCGAGGGCGACCCGGCCGGGCGGGCAGGCGGAGGGGGCGCGCGGGGCGCAGGGACCGGGACGACGCACCAGGGCGGCGCCCAGGAGCCCCCGGCGGGCAGCCCCAGCCCCAGCCCCAGCCCAACGGCCGAGCGCAGGAGGTGGAGGGGAGCGAGGAGGCGGAGGAGGTCCGGCCGCGGCCCAGAAAGCAGGGCGCGCTCGGGGGAGGAGGCAGAAACCAAACACCAACCGCCACCCTGCGCCGGCCAGGCCCGGCCCAGGTCCGCGAGGTCGCCTCCGCCGCACCTGGGCCGCGGGCCCGCCGAGGGCGGGGAGGAAGCCGGAGTCCGGGGAGCGCACGGGCCGGGCGCGCGGGTCGGGCAGCGCCGTCGGGGCGGCCGGGGAGCGGACGCGGCCCCCACCCCAGCCCCCCGCCCCGCACTTACGTGGGCCCGACCGGCGGCGGAGCAGCAGCGCCTCGCCCCGCGGAACCGGGCGGCGCGGGCGGAGGTGGCGGCGGCTTGGGGACTGCGCGGCGCCGGCCTCGGAGCTGCCGCTGCCCCGCCGGCCGCCTGCGCCTTTTGTTGTTGTGCGGCGCCGGGAACAGCTGATCCGCCGCCCCGCCCGGCGCGCCGGCCCCTCCGCCAATCGGGGCCGCGGGGGCCGCGGGGCCGCCCTGCGAGAGGCTGTCGCCAACGCACGTGACCTGGCGCCGGGCCGCCGACGCTCCGGGTGAGAAACAAGCCCGGGCAACAAAGCGGGCGGCCGGCGGCTCGGGGCGTGGTGGGCCCGGCGGGCCGCGCGGGCGGCGAGGGGGGCTGGGGTGCAGCCCGGGGACCCCGCCGCGGGCGGGGCGAACGCCGAGGCGGCAGAGCGCCTTGGGCCCGTGGGTTGTGGATTCAAGTCCTTTGTTGTTGTTGTTGCTGCAAGAGGAAAATGAAGGGCATGGAGAGTGTTGGAGCCTGAAGAACCCAGAAGGCCCCTCCAGGCCCCTGGAGCCCGAAACCCGAGTTGCGGCCCCAGCTGGTGTGGCTCAGTGGGTAGAGCGCGGCCTGCCTGCTGACTGCAGGGTCCCGGGTTCGATTCCCGGTCAAGGCACATGCCCGCGTGGTGGGCTCAGGCCAGGAGGCAGCCGATCAATGATGCTCTCTCAGCATTGATGTTCCTCTCTCTCTCTTTCGCTCTCCCTTCCTCTCTGAAATCTATAAAAATATGTGTTTTTTTTTTTAAATAAACCCGGAAATGTGGCAGGTCGGGCAGGCCCACTTCTTGGGAAGAAAGTCTGGCTCCAGAGACAGAGGGTGCGGGCCACCCTTTGAAGGTCGGGACCGGCACCACCAGGCTGAAGTCATTGATACCGGCTGCTGACAACTTGCCCGCGGGCTCAGCATTCAGCCTGGGGGAGGGCGAGGCAGAGGAGGCCTCAGACCAGGCCCTGGAGGTGGAGACAGGAACCCCCAGAAACCCTGGAGGAAGGAGGTTTAGAAGACCTGATACCCCCCCCCTCCCCGCCCCCGCCAGGCTCTGATCAAAGCTCTCCACCATTAGACCTGCGAACTGTGGGCAGTCCCCGCGTGGCCTGCCTGCTCCCCTGATGATTCAGAGTGAGAAGAAAAGGAGACAGTGGGCTTGGAAATGCTTTCCAAACCAAAGCTCTGGACGTGCACGTGTCTGGCAAAGGCAAGGGAGCCATGTGCATGCACGCCTGTTCTCCTGTGGATCCTGTGTGGACTGAGGTGCAATTCTCTGACCCAGGGTGGGACTCGTAGCAGCAACCTGCAGCAGGTATAGCGTACACTGCAGTCTGTGAAAGACGCGCACAGGAATCCCATGTTCAGTGCACTTCCAACAATACTGATTTCAAAGGATGCACATCAAAGTGCAGGGGATTATCTGACACCCAGAAATAATAACCAAAATGTGGTGGCCATTTGACTTTTTCTCGGGAGGCAGACCAAGCCTGTGGCTTGTGGACTGGACAGTCTCACGGCATTGAGCATGCTTTGGGTTTTAGGTTTTGGCAAATCAGGCTCATCCTAATATTTTCTAGGTCTGGAGTCCTAGAATCTCTTGTTCCGTAGGAATCTATGAAGAGATCCTCTTTCCATTCAGAACCAAGGCATGATCGTTATAAGGGTCTAATTTTTAAAGGTCAAATCTAGACTCATCTTTTCCAACTTGGTAAGTTCTATCACCAGTAAGGCAAAATGGAGAAGCGCACAATACCTCGTTAGGACTGAGAAAACAACACGAGGCAGACAATGTTTTCAAAGATGGTCACACAATATCTCCTGCATCGGGAAGCGGAGTCTACTTTTCCTCCCCTGGAATCTGCGTTTGGCCCTGTGACTGATTTAACCAATAGAATGTGGCAGAAAACTTGTCCTAGGACTTCCGAGGCCAGGCATGAAGAAAGCCCGACAGCCGCTTTGCATTCTGGGAGAAGCCGGCTGCCACATAAGCAGAGACCACCATGCCGTGAGGAAGCCCAAGCTCCGTGGAAAGGCCAGTGGCAAAAGCAAGCTGCGTGGCCAGCCCCTGGAGAGTTAGCCCGTTCCAGCTGAGACCTGGGCATATGAGTGAAAAAGCCCCCCAGGACGTGGCAGCCCTCGCATGGAAGAGATGAGGCATCCTTCCGGGGACCTGCCGCCATCGCAGGACTGTCAGCAAATAAGTGATTGTTGCTGTCAGGCCCTCGATACTGGGGTGGCTTTAAAAGTAGCAATAGGTCACCGAAACACAAAGCCGAACAGCAGAAAGACTCCTAGCACAAAGGGGAGTTTCAGGGATAAAAACATTTTTTATCTTAGGCATCATTTGCTTTCTGTGTACTCTCTCACTGACTTAGAATTTTCTCACCTGGTGCTTGTTTATCCCAGTGGTGTATGGGGGGGGGGGGGGGGCGCGGGGAGGACGGGCCAGCTGGGAGAAGTCTGCCCCTGTAAGGGATGCGTATTTTATCACTGATATTTTTTGGGAACAGTTTGAGCATGAATATAATAAAAAACAAACGGACTCTTAGTCCATTTTAAAGTTCTCCACACACACACACACACGCACACACACACACACACACACACACACACAGAAATTCACTGCTTATTGCCTACCTGGGGTCGGTCGTTGCCACTGCATCCCTTTTGGTCTGCCACTGGTTTACAGACACACATGCAGCAAAAGCGAAACCCAGGAGTGATGCCATCTCCACAGGAGAGATCTGTCTGAACACAACCCAACCGTCACACTGCACAGCTGCAAGCCAGCCTCTCATCCGTTGGTTGACAAAGACCCAGCCAGGTTCCCTGCCCAGGCAGACCCGGGGAATCCAGCCATCCTTTCATGCAAAGGCTCATGCTCAGTGGGTTGCTATAGTACCCACTTCCAGCCCACCCCTGCTGTGGGGAGTGACCCTTCCCCATCTGTCGGAGTCCTCCCATCTGTTTTCCATGGGGCTCAATGCACTCCCTCGTCTAACCCAACAAAGGGATTCAACCTCAAGTGTTTTTGTTCTGAAGGACCACAGGGCAGGACCACATTTATGCCAACACCCAGAAACAATACAGCGACTGCCCCCTCCTCTGCTAAGAAAGGCAGGCTGTGGCTGTTGCCCTGCCAGTTGCATGAAGGCTGCTAGAGAACGTTGTTTCCTGCCAAGCTGCAGGTGGGGACCCCATAGGGTGGCTACTCAGCGAAACCCTGGGGCAACGAACAAGTCATCCAGTCTGTTCTGAATCGATCAGTAACTACGGTCTTCTGAGCTGCTACCATCTAGTCAGCAGGCCAAGTGTCTGGAAAGGATAGGATAGTTTTTTATTAGAATTGCATTTTGGGAGAACAATCCTTGGTGTTCCAGCAAAACCTACTGTCCTAAGAAAGGGGAAAAGGTCCGTCTTGGTCTCCAGAGAGCCTGGAGCAGAAGGAAGCAAGAGGTTTGTGAACTCCACTTTCTGAAATAAAACAGAAATCTAAGTGGGCTGCCTGTTACCATCTCTGGAAGAAGGGTATACGTATGACCGCCTTTGAAGATCCTGGGACCTCTCTAGGCCCACATTTTAGTTTCTTTAGCCCTATGCCACATGGCGATGAGAAATACAACCTGAAAATGAGAAGGCTCCGTGTGCCGGCGGGGGCACCAGGAAGGAGAAGGGGGATGGACCGCCTCACGCGGCAGCCAGGCTGTAGGGACGGGAGGCCTCAGAGCTGCGGTAGCGGATGCTGGGTGATGAGTGACCCTCGAGGTCCGCTGACTGAGTGCTTTCTCCAGTTTCTGTAACATCCTGACTTTAAAGGCCGTTCAGTTTCTAGGCGGATGCACAATAAGTATCCAATTATTTAAAATTGTATTAAAACCCATCCTTACAGCAGAGCAGAAAGCAAGTCACCCTGAATGGGTGTGGCCCAGATACCGGGCATACGATGTGCCTCCATGTGCCACCCCCAGCCCCAGGGAGCCTTGAAGCTTGCAGAGACCCGCCGTCTGGGGCAAGCCAGCCGGTCCTATGGCAGTTGCAGTGTTATCACAAGTGTGTGAGCAAAGGTCCTTTATAGCTCCTGCTGCCAAAGCTACCTCTTCACTCACACGGCCACTCTGGGTCACTGTCCACAGTCTCAGGTGCCAGAAGCAGCCGCAGGTGGGGGCTGCAACCATAAATTGCTCTATGATGGGGACAGGCTGAGGAGAACGTGTCTTTCTGGAGTTCTCAAAAGGATGACGCTGACAATATGATTGCTACTCACGTAAGCTCCACAGTGCTGACATAGTCTGCCCGTGTAAGGAAAACTTGTTTATTGTTCTGTCTGGAATTAACCATCTTAAATATCCATTACATCTTGCAAGATTAATTTGTGTTCTTAAATGTCCAGGTTTTTCATGGCTTTGGCAAAGCCAGACCTAAGCCTGTTGATAACGTGAGGTCGGAGGTTTTGATTTCTGTTCTTTCAGGGCCTCTCCTGCTGTCCCCCTCTTGGTAGGAGTTCTCATTTCTTTCCCGTTATAATCAGACAGCGGGAGGGTACCAATAGCATAGCCCCATAAAGGTTGAACATCAGCCACTTATTCCTTCAGGCCTTCTGTGTTCACAGCATCCATCCATTCATTCAATAATGACTTAATGAGCACCTACTCTAATCCAGGCAGGAAATATCATAAGCAAATATATATATAATATGCAAATTAGGCCAGGAGGCCTGAACGGGTCACGACTGGACAGGAGGAGGTTGCGCGAGCAGGTGAGGAGGGGAGCGGAGCGGAGCCAGGGGGATGGGGGGACACTGCGAGTCAAGCGCAGGTCCCAGCCCCCCGTGGGGCGCCTCCTCAGCCTCTAGTAAATATATAAAGTAATAAGTGTTGTGCAGAGAAACAAAGCTGGGTGAAGGGTTAGAGAGAGGCTGGTGAGGAGGTAGGGTGGTCAGGAGGACCTCGCTGAGGAGGTGGCGCTCGCGCAGCAAGCATGGAGGGCGTGAGGGAGGGAAGAGGCAGCCGGAAGAGCCGGTGCCAAGGCCAGAGGCAGGAGAGCCCTTGTGCTCAAGCGTTAGCACTGCTCTCGTGCTAAGCGGTGCCACCGAGCGTTCGGTGTGATGTGGT